AATTCAATTTGATCTTGAGGAAAATTATTTTTTTCACGATTCTAATTCAAAGGATCCATGCTGATTTTAATGCCGCCGTTCCCCCAGTGTGCGACTAATGGTTTTGTTAATTCATTTGATTAACATAACAGACATTTCTCGCATTGCTGAACCCCACCTAACGAGCACGGCCATAGCATCCGTTTGTCTCATTGTGAATCCGTGAAAATGACTGGTCCAGCTGTCATCGGATTCATCGGTCACAAGTTTGAGTCATCCATCACCGAACCAAAGACACCGCACAATATAACGAAACTCATCTGAACGTGAGGAAATGGACTTCTGTTATCTAACGACGAAGCCATTAACGGGAGACAGCGCAACTCAAATCTACAGTTCTCAAACCTGATGACAGTTGTAATTACTAAGGCCCTGAACTGCAATTTTGCTGGAACAATCAAGAACAACATCATTTTGTGGCTCGCGGGCTGCAGCGGCAAAGAGGTCATTTCATATGTTGGGTGTTGAGGATAATCCCTTTCACAATAATAGATTTCCTCTTCCACTCTAACCTTGACCGTTTATTGGCTTCCACACACACACACACACACACACACACACACACACACACACACACCAGGACTCAACCCAGACTTGCCCACAGTAAAACAAGGCAGCAAACCACGTCTCAGGGGATTAAACTGAGATCCAACCGGGACAAGAGTCAACACAGCCATAATCTTCTCCCCCCGAACAGCGAGGAGCAAATCTAATGCTTTTTATGCTTTTAATGAAATAAAATTGTGTTACATATTTTTCTATTTTTCTTAAAACGACATAAATGAGTTGGATGTGAATGTGTAGGGGTCAGACCGAGTGTTTCAGCTGTTTTAATTTACACACGCAGCCTCACGGTGGATTAATGGAGCATCCGGGCGGCGTTTCAGGGATAAATTTAACTCCGAGTCCGAACCGCTTCTGACCTATATCTTTAAACGCGGCAATATTGTCCTGATGGAGAAGGTTTATTGGGTACGTCTGAGTGTGTGTTTACAAGGGCTGGAGACATAAGGCCAACGTGACATTTCAACAGGAAGAAAACAAGTCGAGATGGGTAAAAGACAAAAGAAAACACCCTTAAAAAGACTCGGGAAAACAGTGTGTGTAAAAAAAACACACAAAATTATCCGTCAGGAGTGTGGCTTGTGTTCAAAGTGCTAATTTGTGACCGAGACTTGTCAATTTACTTGTCATTTATACTAAAACTGAAGAAGTATATATGCAGGAAAAAGAGCATTGCCCGAAGCCCAGTAGTGGGAGAAAGGTGTTGGGTCAGAGAGTTTCTATGGGCCTGTATGACTGTGTATGGATGTAAGTATTGTGTGTCTGGATGTGAATATTGTGTGTATGGATGTAAGTATTGTGTGTCTGGATGTAAGTATTGTGTGTCTGGATGTAAATATTGTGTGTTTATGGATGTAAATATTGTGTGTCTGGATGTGAATATTGTGTGTGTATGGATGTAAATATTGTGTGTCTGGATGTGAATATTGTGTGTCTGGATGTAAATATTGTGTGTGTATGGATGTAAATATTGTGTGTCTGGATGTGAATATTGTGTGTCTGGATGTAAATATTGTGTGTATGGATGTTAATATTGTGTGTATGGATGTAAATATTGTGTGTATGGATGTAAATATTGTGTGTATGGATGTAAATATTGTGTGTATGGATGTTAATATTGTGTGTATGGATGTAAGTTTTGTGTGTATGGATGTTAATATTGTGTGTATAGATGTAAGTATTGTGTGTATGGATGTTAATATTGTGTGTCTGGATGTGAATATTGTGTGTATGGATGTGAATATTGTGTGTCTGGATGTTAATATTGTGTGTATAGATGTAAATATTGTGTGTATGGATGTAAATATTGTGTGTGTGGATGTAAATATTGTGTGTATAAATGTAAATATTGTGTGTATGGATGTAAATATTGTGTGTATGGATGTTAATATTGTGTGTATGGATGTAAATATTGTGTGTTTGGATGTGAATATTGTGTGTATGTGAAAAATACATTTATTTTATTTTCCTCAGTTTCTCTCTCCTAATGTTTTGTTTTTGCGATGTTGGACCCCATTTAAGTGTCCATGGCTTCTAGCGTGTTCTTTTTTTCACAATCTCCCAAATATTTGCACAATATCAATGCATTTTAAATCTGTGATGTGGTGAATAATAAAAGTGAGTTGATTGATTGATTGAATTTCATACATTGCTGCTTTTGTCCATGTTTATACTTTAGTCTATTCACCAGTAACAGCCCAACACAGCCATCCCACAGTAATTACTCAAAAACGTGGTCATAACAGTAATTAAGAAATGAGTGGGTAATGATTTAAGGCCGAGCTCACCTGGTGTGTGCTCGCCCCAGGACAAACTGAGGTGGGCAGAAAGGTCTAGAAAAATGGCCAAGTTACCTGCATGTATCCAACGGTCGGTGTAGTGTGAAAGTCTAAACAAGACTAATTACACCTTCTGTTCCTCAGCAAAAGATTACAGCTCATTACCAAGAAACGCCACAGTGGACATGGGCAAATAAGCAGGTAATACCTAACTGTGCAGGCATATAAATCGTCGAAATAATTGGTTTTATCTTTTCAAACACATTAAAGCATCTCCCCGAGCTCCGGCTGCACTTCCAGTCACTTTTTAGCAGCTGATAAACGCTGATTAGGGGTTTTAGCTGCTCTGCCAAGTCTACTCAGGTGGGCATTAGCCGCGGTAATACTTTTCTTATTGATCACGGCCTCCTGCCTGTTCTCAGACTGAGGGAGGTGCAAGACAAGAAAACATCCCTGTGCCAGCTTCATTTGTCAAGTGTCTGCCGGCCAAGGAAAACAAGGAGTTCTCATTATGAATTGGCGAGAAAGAAAAGGGCAGGACCAGTTGGAATATTTGTGGTGTGACGATCATCTTACTATGTGTGATAATCAAATGTATATGTAAAATCCCAGAGAGGCCAAGCCAATAAAAGCCATATCGAGACTAGCAGGACTCGGCCTCGAAGGATGCTTTCACTTTTGCATTCATCCACAAGAGGCAATTTATAGCAAGCATGCAGTTTGCTCTTAATGAATAAAATATACAGATCTAAAGATAGACGGGGGAGTCAGGGCCATAAGGGATGTCAAACACTACGCCCTATGCATTAAAACATCTCACTCAAATCAATTATTTTTCTGTTTCTACACAAACTCAAACTAACAGATGTATTCTTTTTAAAAACTGCTACAAAGTCCTAATCACAATCAAATTACAATGATGAAGAGACAGAGATAATACTTTTCCTGAATAGGGCTTTTCTATGTGTTCAAAGAAAAAGGTAATTCAGCAGTTATTATTGTCATTCTTTCAACGTATTTTTCCACACTTAACTCATTGACCGCTTTTGATGATTTCATTGATTCTCAAGACCCACAGAATATTCTTTCCTAAGACTATGTGAAATATGAAACCAGATTCTGAAAGACTGGACTGTCAACTTTCATCGGCAAAAATAAGTTTGTTTCTTGCTATTTTTGTTGTCCTGTAATCCCTCGTCGAATAGAGGGTCTCAGACAAATATGTCAATGGCAGTAAATGAGTTAAATGTCTACATCAGTCCAAACTCAGGCCCGCGGGCCATTTGCGGCCCTTTGCTGCTGCTGCTAACACAAAGTCGCCATTGAGACCCTTTGATAGTGTCATCCAACCAACTTCAGCTCTACCAATACAGTCAGGCTATAGCGTGTTGTAAATGTCACACCCTCTGGAATCCAGTTGTGAACTCAACTGTTTTATGATTGTGTCACAACATTTGACATAAAATGGGCTGTGAATCAATAAGGATGTATCATAACCAATTTTGAATTCCAAAATCCAGCCAATCCATCTCGAATCCAGTTTTTAAATCCAGGTTATCGGCTCCAGGTCAAGTCTGATGAACTAATGTGGCCCTCTTACTAAAAAGTTTGGACACCCCTGGTCTACATGTTCACCCCTATATGTCGTGCTGATTCTAAGGCCAAGGCTGATCCAGGATACAACCTGTAACTGACTGTAGAGTTATGTAAGAGTCACAAAGGAGAAAACCACTTCAAATTGCTGAAGGCACAATGTTGACAATAGGCATGACATTTATCGATGTGGGTGGAGTCCACAAACACACACAAGCCCAAAATGCACAGAAAGGTACAATACTGTGACACTATTCTTGATACACAAACAAAAACGCATATTCTCTGCAAGTGCCACATTCAAGCAATCCATTTTGACCCACTTGCACTAAGCATGGCTATAGTTATTAGCAAAAAAAATGCAGCAAAATATTACCACCTTCTTATTGTTATCAGCGTCTTTGAGAGGACTTTACAATCTCAATTTACTCTGTTAAGATTATTCAGCAAAACCACAGTAATTACGGTTAATAACCCATCAATAACCTTAGAATGAATACAGCCAGATGTAATGTGTGTTATATGTGCATTGTTATGGTATTGCTAAGATTTTTCACAGTTGCTTAGTTGTTTTTTGTCACACAATAGACAGATGTGTAGCCTACTTTGGGTGATAGAATAGTGAGGAATAAAATTGCAGCCTATTTTAAAATCGTGAGGAGGTTGCTGTGATTTTATCCTGGGAATATCATTGATAAACTTAGTGTTTTCTGTCATAAATAGAATGGAATTATTACTATAGTAAGATGTATTGTTGCCAGTAAATTAATGAATCTGATTAGGCCTGTGACAAATGCAGAATCAGTCTGTGTGTCATCATTGTCAGCTGGCTTCAATATAGACCATTGCTTGTGCAGTGAGCAGAGGGTTTTGCAGAAAGGATGGACAAGGATCACTCACTCAGACTCAGCTGATAGCCCTCTGCAAACGTGACCTAGAGTGACAGCTACAGCCCTGTGCCTTCAGCTGAGCGCCAATGACAAAACCCTGGATGATGAGGACCATAGGATGATCGCAGCAGAAACAATGAGAACCACACACGCAGTAAATGCAGATGTGTGTGTCGCCTCTTACCTGCCCACTGTTTGGTTGGCGAGCTGTCTCATCCGATTGAACTGCTTCTTCATCTTGTGTTTTCTGCGTTACCACCGCGAGGTAGAGCCGCTCCACATTTCACATATCTCTCATTGATGTGGTAAAGTCAGACCTGTGCAGACCTGTGCAGACCTGTGCAGAGGGGCAGGCGGAGCTGGACACTCTTCAGGCGGACGCTTCGTGCATCTCGACCGGGGAGTCAGGCTTAATGTCCCCGCATCTTGGTCGCTGAGCCCCGGTGTTCGTGCTGCTCCGCTCCGCTGCTGCCACAGATGCTGCTGCGCTGACAGAGCTCGGCTGCCGACTACGAGCTGCAGCGATGCATTGTGGGAAATGGCGTTCTCGATGATGAAAGCGAAAGCAACACACACACACACGAATGTTTGTGTTGTCTTCTTTTCTAAAATAAGATATAGATTATACATTAAAAAAAACATATACATTTAATTAAAAATCAAACCAGTAGAACTTGCACAAATATCTGCAGCCAATCAATACACATTACAATTATGCTATGATTGATACTATTTACAATAAAACATTGAATAGAATTGAATTGCCACTTTTTATTGTACACAATATATCCTGCATTTAACATGTTTGCACAACTCTGTCTTTTGCAAAATCTTGAGTGATTCTGTCCATGCCAGATGTGACATGTACATTTCTCCTGTGTGAGATCAATAAAGTCTATCTTATCTTATCTATTAGTATCTTCTGTAATACGAACTCAACGATTCTGTGCACAAGTGTCATGGGTCAGGATCATTGGTCACACAAGGGAGGCTCACAGACACGCAGCACCACCTAGTGGCTGCCTGATGCAACGCATACAATAGGTCTAAATAACGATAGATCTATTTCCCCACAGTGGGACGAATAAAGGATCTCTTATCTCTCTTTTCTCTTATCTGTATGAACCTTTCTTACTTCATTATTTTATGATAGTTGAGAAACATATTCCATTCAGTGAGCTAAATAAGGCTAAACATGTATACTTCTCATTTTATTGGAACCGCTCAAGAAAAAACACATATGAGAGTGACTTTCCAACATTCCAATGGGTTAGTGATGAATTATATTAAAATATTCGTAGTTCGTGACGTAGGGTGGCAGTGGCAGGCTGTGTTCTGTCCGACAGGGGGCGCTCTGGAGGCTCTGGACTCTGAACAGCAGAAGCTCGTGTCTGTGGATTGTAGTTGAATGACATTTGTGCAAAGTTTACTTTGTGTGTCACATTCTGACAGCAGCTGACTCGGTCTTGGTCTTAGATCGGTGTCGTTTCTGTCTGGATTAAATCGACATCACTTTGGAAAATGAGAGACCGGACAAAAGAATTGGGAAATGTGAGTTTTTAAGAGAGAAGCTAGCATTAGCTGTAGCATGCTAACCTGCTAACTTGACAAGTTCACTCGTGTTGTGTATGAGCTGATGCCGTTGTTCACTGTCCTTCTGTCGTGCAAATGCCTCATGTTGTTCCTTGAGGTCAGAGTGTGGACGGGTTTGTCTCTGTGTTGTGTTAAAGTGCTGTTGCTTTGACTTCCGCTGTGGAAGTCCAGGGCAGGGCAGCTCTGTGCCTCATATCAAACATGTGTCTGCTCCTCATCATCACAACAGAAGGCAGAGTCCTCGGATGAAGATGAGGAGGGCAGAGCACTCATGGTCAAACCTGGCCCCTCTTCACCCAAAGAGGACAAGGAGAGCGAAGCCTTCTTCAAAAAGGTACATCATCCACTAATGTACTGTTGAATTATCATTCTCCACGTTAGACTTACACTGAAGGTGTCTCTGGTGGTTTGCACAGACACAGAGGCCCCTGTCCACAGACACTGAGGCCCCTGTCCACAGTCACTGAGGCCCCTGTCCACAGTCACTGAGGCCCCTGTCCATAGTCACTGAGGCCCCTGTCCATAGTCACTAAGGCCCCTGTCCATAGTCACTGAGGCCCCTGTCCACAGTCACTGAGGCCCCTGTCCACAGTCACTGAGGCCCCTGTCCACAGTCACTGAGGCCCCTGTCCATAGTCACTGAGGCCCCTGTCCCACTTGTTTAGAGAATGTCCCTTGTTGTCTTATGCCACATTAATTGTATAAAGACAATGTTTTTTGCCCATGAACAAAATTCGTGTCCATCCATGTAGTTAGCTTGTTCTTAAATGTGAGGTTTTAACCACAATCTATGGTTATTATGTGTACTGTCCCTTTGCTCCAGAGTTGTCAAATGTTTTGAAATTTCACAGGAATCTCTTCAAAAAAGTGCATAACATTTAATCCCTTTTCTGAGCAGTTGAAGAATATGTTTGCTCTGAATTAGTTTAAAACACAGTTGTAACATCACATTTTAAACATGGATCTGTGTCGTCTGCAAACATCTGTATCACTTATTGAGCCTGAACTTTCAGTATTGTGATAACCCCCACTTGGGGATTTCTGGCATTAGAACATAATCTCAGGCAATCGGGAATATTCAAGACAGATCTGTATGAAGTACTCACAGGAATTGTGCTTTGACATTGTGATTATTTCACAAAAATTAAGTCAAAAGAGCTGAATGGAGGTCATCTCTATTTTGCAAACATTAGAAGTGTTGATAAAGTCAGAGGATAATATTTTTGTATGGTCTGTATTGTAGTAGAAACGCCTGTGTATTGAGCACCATCGTTATTTTCAAACTTACACATGTTTTTATTGTCGTAAGGCTCAAGAGATCCACGAGGGCCTGCAAAGTCTGAAGAGAAAGGTTTATGACCTTGAGAACAAGCAGAAGACTGTTCTGGGTGTACCTTTACCAGAGGACAGTGAGTAATGTCTTTGCCGCACACACATGATTATATGTACAGTATAATCAGCATCATAACACTGCAGACCTTTGCTTTGGTTTGAAGGTATGAAGAAAGAGCTTCAGGTCCTGAGAGATGAAATCAAAACAATGGCAGGGCAGATACAGAAAAAACTCAAAAGTGAGTATTTATATTGAAAATCACTTAACTTTCTCATTCAATGACCAACTTCACACTTTCTTAGGCATTGAATCCAAAAAGGGAGAAGATGATGGAAAATACATATCCGTAACCACAAGAATGCAGCGGATACAGGTGGATTTCTATATTTTCTGCTCATTGTCGATTGTGTAAAGTGGATTTATTAGATGTAATGTCCCTCCATAGCACGGTGTTTTATCTAAGGAGTTTGTGGAGTTGATGGGGCACTGCAACACCATTCAGACTCATTACAGAGAGCGTAATGTGGAGAGGATAAAGAGGCAACTTAAAATCAGTAAGTAAATAACCACTGCAATGATTATTCTATATCTAATCTATAATACAACACCACGTATAGGTATAACCGTTTAGTTTTTGTTTGACAGTAAGGCGCGATCGTTATTGTTATTGTCATTGAGAATTATTTATTTTGTCCTGTCTTTAGCCGGGTACAATGTGACGGATGAGGAGCTGGACACGATGCTAGAAAGTGGACAAACTGACGTCTTCACTCAAAATGTGAGTAAATGCAGTCGTTGAAAAACAAAATCAAACACAAACCCAGGTTATTTGTGACTTCTTTTACAGTCTCACAAATGGCTAATTCTGAATATTATTTTAATGACTGAAGATGTGCTTTTTGTAGCTTTTCTCATTGCGTAAATTGGATTTCTACCTTGGTAAGAAATGCGTGATGTAGTAAAGTAGAAGCTAGTGCTAGTTCATAGTCAGCGAGAGCCAAATCAGCACATTACAAGGGAGAAAGTGGGATTAGTTTGTTTTTTTCTGAAATTAAATGTATGTATCTTGTAACTTCTCTGTTTTACAAGAGAGAAGCCAGGTCACTTTATAGAAAGTGTCCTGTTTTCAGAATTCTGCTTCTTTTTGCGGCCTAAATGTGTCAATGTTTTTTTGGAAATAGCCTTAGCAACATTGGTGTCTGAGCATAGTCATACAATTATAAAAATAAAATAAAAAATCATATATTAGTAAATACATTGTTTGTGAAATGTAGAAAAGTAAATTAACAAAAAAATGATCTCTGGAAATTCAATCGTGTTTAAAATGGTGTGTTATTGCAGTGGCCTCTGACCTGGACTGGACTTTGCTGTTCATCTTCATCATAATTCACTTTTATTCATGTTTTTTCCGCCTCAGATCTTGAGTGACGCCAAAGCGACGCGGCAGGCTCTAAACGAGATCGAGTCCAGACACGACGAGATCCTGAAGTTGGAGAGAAGCATCCGAGACCTGCACGAAATGTTTCAGTACCTGGCGATGGAGGTGGAGGCGCAGGTAAATATATCAGCACCCAAAGCACTATCTCTGGAGATGGTTGCGGTTTTTTTGACTCATGGTAATCTTGTTCTAAGGGAGAAATGGTCAACAGGATTGAAACGAACATTAAAGATTCTGTTAACTATGTGGAAAAAGCAAAAGACCACACAGAAAAGGCGGTTACGTACCAGTCCAAAGCTCGTAAGGTACGTATACAATAGGACCCTTTCACTCTACCCCCTGGCGAGTTCTGGAGGTTTCAAACATGCCCACTTTTCATGCTTCAAAATGTACGCTGCTGGATAGATATGACCGTTACTATGATGCAACTTCACAGCAGATCAATTCAACTTCTATGTCTATAATTAATGTTACAATAGAGCCACTATTCAAACTCTCAGTCTGTTTTAAAGTTTCTAGTTCTGTTCTTTTGAGCTTGGCAGTAGCTCAGGTGTCTTCATTAAATATTGATTTATTTCGGCGACGCTGGTCTAAAACTATAAATGTGAATTCGATAGGAAGTGTAAATCTGCAGTTTAATGGACAACCAGTACTTCCCAACACAGTATTATGAAAATGGTCCATCCTAAAATAAAATAGTTTCTCTTTTACGTCTAAAACCTGTTTTTGTTTTTTGTTTTGCAGAAGAAAATATGGATCGCCGTGTGCTTAGCCGTCTTGATTCTCATCTTGGTCATAGCGTTGCTTTCTGCTTTTGGCAGCTAAGGTTTAGTTTCATGTGTAGACTCCAACAACCCCTTCATCATTGAGCCGGCATGACGTACAGATGAATTTGGACTGTAATCCTCTTTGGGCTCCAGACTGCCGTCAGATGCTCAAGTTCTCCTCTATTGTACTTTTCCAAGTACTCGCACATGTGCAAACCAAACTTTTTTTATGAGAAAAATACAAATTGTGCCCTCAAGCATTTCACTCAGGGTGTTAGTGCCCCAGGAAATAAATGTTAGTCTGGAGCCCGGGCTTTTGGCGAAGTTTAAATTCCCCCTCGTTTCTTCCATCAAGAGTATTTTTATTGGTTAGATGTGACGTGGACCCAGTTTCAGACAATACAGTTTATACAATCTTCTTTAATACATTTGAAATATAAAACTGCTGGCTTTTCCAAAAGGATTAAAGGCCCTGGTTTAGGGTTAGAGAACTGTTAACTGTTACAGAGGTTGTTCTTTATTAAAGAGATAAAAGTGGCCTTATTTATGGGCAGACTGCAGTATTCTACACTGGCGCTGATCATACTGTACTCAGGAAATTTTTGCTTTTGTTTTTTTATCATTAAATTAAATTGGAAATGTAAACAATTTTATACAGTATGACTTTTAGCTAGAGGGATTCTAATATAATTGTACAGAACGTTGCTGTTGAGACATACTTTTATGGATAATAGACTTGAACGTGTTGAAATGCCTGTATGTAACAAGTGTAAATATGTTGCTCATTAACAATTCATTGCTTTTAATTGTGTAGTTTTCCTAATGTCTTCCTTTGCCACATTGTATTTACATTGGAACAGCACAAACCTTGTCTAAATGTGCCTTTATCCAGAAGCACTGCACTGACTTAAAGCGATAAGGCGTTTTTAATGCAGTTTATAGCAATAGCAGGAACTCGCTTCCTCTTCTCCTGGGATGTTCATTAGGCTTTGTATATTTATTTTCCACTTAAATCAAGTCTTTTAAACCATTCTGTAGGCAATATTTTTCTCATGGATTGACGGCACAGCTACTATTTACCAGCCGTTGCTTTATGAAATGATGAGAATTGAACAAAACCTTTACAAAATGCAAACCTGTTTAATTTTGGATAATCGTAACATGTTTTTTAATAAATTCCATGATATTACTGCTGTATCTGTTTATTTTACACCTAAGTTTAAAAATCAAACTTAACACAGCTATTTTTGGTCTTTTATTCAACTGTAATCGTCTTAATTTTTCAAGTAAAACATTGTGGAAATACAAGGGATCAAAGGAATGCAACAAATTAATCAGACAACTCAAAATTAAGACCATCACCATAAACTACCCATCCCTCCAAATGTCACCTTTTTCAAACATTGTTGACAAAGAAAATCAATATACAGTCTGGAACTGTACCAGTCGTTTTTATTCACATATTTCCATGTTTTTTTACATGAATGAGAGCGACGGTTCGGTGGCGACAAAAGTAAAGCAGCACTGACTTGGCCGAGTGCTCTCCATGTTTTCCAGGGTTACAGAGCTTTTTTTTTTTTCAAATTTGGTTTCTCATTTACAACAATGCAAGAAGCTAACACCTCCGCTTCTGGTGCATCACAAGGCAATTGAAGGTTGGAACCCATTGGCCAAAGAGGCACTCATTTTTACTACAAGTACTTGCCTTTAATATACAATAAAATACATGACAAACTTGACCATAACAACATTTGCCTTTGGGACAATATAGAAATTAAATCTTGCAGCTTGAAAATGCAACTTTCCCAAGATAATTTACATGTTCAATTGATACATTAGCTTGTACACTGTTGTGGTATCTGGAAACAAATGTCTAAAGTTACTCACAACAAACTAAAGGATGAGGCCCCAAAACAGATGTGCAAATCAGAAATTGTTGGCTGGATTTTTGAGTCCAGTGAACGGTTTGTGATGTGAAAAAGGGGCCCAGAGTAAAGTCACGCTCCAACATAGTGCAGCAAAGGTCGCAAGACTGATCAGATATCTTCCCATTACCAGGAAGAAAAAAATAATAAAATATGCATAACTTATCACCTGACTACAAAGAGATAGCCAGGACTGCTGAGAAGATTTTTAAATTCAAATACTCCAAACCCTGCCACATAACAATACAATGGGTCACTCAAAAGTACTGTTAATATGGACACAATTAGGACCCAAACTCTGGGTACAATGTCACCCTATCCCACAATTACGTCACTACAACTGTGCGTCCAGACCAATTGATTATTACAGTACATGTGATATGTCAGAGTCTATTCACCCATCAATCATTTACCCTCCACACTAGTTTTCTCCAGAATCCTGATATTTTCTATCACCTCCAGTGGTCCTCCCGAGCCGTCCGTCCTCCAGTCTGTGAGGGCAGGACCAGCTCCGAGTGGAAAAGGAGACACAGGGAGCTCATGTGCAGAATTGACTTCCCTGGCATTGGTAGGAGTGCAAACAAACCTCAACGATACGCTGACTGACACTTCCCTGTATTGTGGATATAAAATCATGTCTTGTTTCGGCTTTGGCTGGCAGAAGAGCGGGTGCTAGCGGCCGGAGACCGTGCTTGTGCAGCCGCCAGGGCCGCCACGCTGCGCAGCACTCTGTCGGGCGTCCCCTCGTTCCCTGAACTACTCAATTCATTCTGAGTTTTGCTCGACCGGAGACTATCCCTCCGGCTCTCACTCCTGTCCCGTCTGTCTCTTTCGCTGCCGGAGGACGTGCCTCTCGAGCGGGATCCACGGCCCTCGGCGTTCTGAGAGCTGATGCTGCGAGTCCTTTGACTGCTGTTGCTGCTGCTCCTGCTGTCCTCGCCGTCGTCACTGCTGATACTGCTGCAGGCGCTGTTGCCTCGCGATGAACGCCGTGCCTCCCTCTCTCCATCTTTGCCCCCTGTCGACTTCCTGCACTCCTTCTCCTCAGCTTTGTGTTTTTTGTACTCACTTTGCAGAGGTGGGACAAGGGAACCAGGACATTGCCGCGTGGACCGAGTGGGCGTACGACTGGTCTGATTTGGAGTCGAAGATTTGCTTGAAAATTCTTTATCATTGTTTTTATTGGTAGAGTGTTTTGCTACAGAGTTGGTAGATGGCGATGAGGTGGTGCCTTTACTTTTAGCCTTTTCATTCTTCTCTTTAGCTGCATTGGCTTTAGCAGCTGAATCTCTCCTGGGGGTGTGACCTGGTGTGTCCACATTGCCTTTCATTGCCAGAAGTTTTGCAGCAGCATTTAGAGCCGAGCACCTCTTTCCCAAGACCTCTGGCTCAGGGGGAGGGGCTGGGGGTTTTGAATCAATGGACTTTCTTGAGCTCCGAGCTGAAGATGCATCACTACTAGATTCACCCCCAGTTGATACGTTCGCACTGTTTCTTTCCCGAGCTGGTTTCTTTGCCTGCCTGTTGCCATCACTGTCATTATCTTGTAGCCTTCTCTTAGCCGATCGGGTTAAACGATGCTCGTTTTTGTCATCAGAGTCTGAATCCGAGGAAGATGAGGAAGATCTTGAGCGTCGTTTCTGTGTTGAGGCCTTTTCCTTGCTCTCCTCTTGTGGTTTTTCTTGCGGTTGCTTCTCAGCTTTTGTCCCTTTGCCAACATCTTCTGATTTCTTATCCTCCGTTTTGGCATCTGGTGGAGTGACATCAACGCGTCTCCTTTTTGCGGGGTTCCGGTTTTCATACGTTTTCTTGTGATGAGCGTAGCGCGTGAGGGTGTGAGTCGAACAACCCGAGGAGGGGGAGGAGGATCGTGTTGAATCTTGACTGCTTTGGCGACTGAGAACTGCTCTTGGAACCGGAACCAGTTCATCCGACAAACGTTTACAGTCTTTCAGGTTGGACAATTTCAAATCACCTTCTTTATCCGTTTCATCCGTCTCTGAAGAAGTCTCGGCTCTTTTCCTTCTTAATTCTTGCACACCAATCTCTTCAATTTTCTGCTCATTTTGCGTTTCCATCACTTCAGAAGTTGACACTATTTTGACAGACTGCTGTTCGGGAATCTTCTCAGGCTCTTCTGTATCAACAGATGAAACTATTGCCACTTGTTCAATGGGTAAATCATCATTTTCTTTGATTTCCAAAGAAAGTGGGGTGCTTGGCATTTCAGGCATTGGCAGATCAGTCTTTAGAGGTGACACTGTAGTAGTTGAACTTATTGCATTGACTGGCAATGAAGTAGCAGTTGCAGTAGCAGCCGTTGTCAATGTAGTAGACATTTGAGCAGTAGTAGTAGCTGTAGTATTAATTAAAGAAGTTGCAATTTGAACAGGGGTAATTGTTACAGGGGTTTTGACCGGCTGTTCTGTTTGGATAGATACAGGTGGGGCCTTTTCTACAGAAGCAGCCTCTTTTTCATTAGGAGACAGTTCACATTGTGTTGCACTTTTGTCGGGGGTTATGTCAGTCTGCAAAGTTGAAACTGTTGTCTCAGTGGTAACTTTTGTACAACTAGAAGATGGGGGGGAGGCAGGTGATGACAACTGAACTTGGGCCTTTTTTGAAGGACTTGAGGGTGCAATGGTTGAACTGGAAGATGGCATTGGTGGGACTAGGCTAGAAGAAGATGAAGCTGTGGTTGAGCCTAGGCTAGTAGCAGTAGCTGTGGTAGAGGCTAAGCTAGTAGCAGTAGTAGAGGCTAAGCTAGTAGCAGTAGCTGTGGTAGAGGCTAAGCTAGTAGCAGGAGCTGTGGTTGAGGCTAAGCTAGTAGCAGGAGCTGTGGTTGAGGCTAAGCTAGTAGCAGTAGCTGTGGTTGAGGCTAAGCTAGTAGCAGTAGCTGTGGTTGAGGCTAAGCTAGTAGCAGTAGCTGTGGTTGAGGCTAAGCTAGTAGCAGTAGCTGTGGTTGAGGCTAAGCTAGTAGCAGTAGCTGTGGTTGAGGCTAAGCTAGTAGCAGTAGCTGTGTTTGAGGCTAAGCTAGTAGCAGTAGCTGTGTTTGAAGCTAAGCTAGTAGCAGTAGCTTTGGTAGAGGCTGGGCTATTGGAAGGAGCTGTGGCAGAGGCTACGCTAGTAGCAGGAGCTGTCGTTGAGGCTGGGCTATTGGAAGGAGCTGTGGTTGAGGCTAAACTAGTAGCAGTAGCTGTGGTTGAGGCTAAACTAGTAGCAGTAGCTGTGGTTGAGGCTAAGCTAGTAGCAGTAGCTGTGGTTGAGGCTAAGCTAGTAGCAGTAGCTGTGGTTGAGGCTAGGCTGGTAGATTCTGTTGTAGTTCTTAATGGTGAATCCATTTCCTTGGTTGCATCCATATCTACAGCAGCATTAGCAACTGTATTGGTCACCGCTTCCACCTTGACATTGGAGTCCAAAGATGAAACCAATGGGGTTGCCTTAGTGGACTGTGATGTTTCAATTTGTGGAAAATCTACCAGGACGTTTGATTCTGTAACTGCTGGGGTGTGCAATGAGTTTGTTGCAGTAGTCTCTGGGTCGGTGACAAGTGAGGATGTCAGCTCTGCATTACAAAGGGGAGAGGGAATTTCAGTTGTTTCCAGATTTTTAGCTTTATCTTGCTCTGGACAGTCTATCGATGGTGTCTTTAGAGTAGACACAGCAGCAGTTGAAGGTGCAATTTTGTGATCTGTGGGTGTGGCAGAGTCATTGTCATGTGCCTTGTTCTCTTCCATTCCTTCTGAAGAGGCTGTTTGTGATAGATTTGATGCGAGCACCTCTACATTTGGGTCTGATAATTCATCTTTCGTCGTCTCATTTTGACCTGTGCTTATAGAAACATCAATAGGATTTTCTGATTTATCCGGTGCAGTTTGTTTATCCTTTTTACACTGCTCTGTGCTCTCCGTTTCCGTCAGCAAGTCTTTACGGCCTCTCTTGTCTTTTGGAGACAAGGGGGGGTTGTTAGTTTCAGTGGGAGAGGGAGGCTGTGGTGAAGGGGGCTCTGCATTTTCAGAACTCTTCACCGGCCGCCCTCTTTTTCGTTTTACAGTTGCGGAGTTTGAATTTGCCTCCTGTGAAGAGCCTTGCGTTGCGTCAGTTTTACGGTGTTGATTTGCTCCACGGCCCCTCCCAAATAGCTCTCCCATTTGTGCCGCCAAGCGATTCTCTGTCTCCACTCTCCGCCGCACAGGCAGGTTCCTCAACACGGGCATGTCGGGGGATAAACGCGGTGGGGAATACGGTGGAACACTTCGAACAGGTGGAGGGGTGGCACTTTCTGGCTCTTTTGGCTTCTCTGATGAGTCTTTTATTTTGCTTTCAGGACTAGAAGTGGGCTTGTCTTTGTCATTACTGGAGGCGGTGTCAGTGTGCTCCTCTGTGTTAGTCTCCTCTGATGACCCACCTGTGCCACTGGTTCTTCTCTTCCGTTTTCGGGGCTCTTTCTCCTCCACCACAGTGACGAGTCGTCCTGGCAGTTTGCGCAGCACTTTGGCGGAGGGAGAGTCCTCATTCAGCCCCTTCAGGATTTCATCGTCCGCAGTCACTCGTTTGCGAGGGGAGCGAGAACAGCTGGAAGGAGGAGACATTGCACTTTGCTCTTTGTTGTCGTCGTCATCTTTCATAACATTCTCAGCTGCACCACTGGAGTCTAATGAAGACTCAGACATGCCCTGCTCCTTTTCAAGGCCACCTTCATTCTCTCCTTTCACGGACTTGGAGACTTTGACTTCGGCTTCTGTAGCGGACTGCTGGGGCCTTTTAGGAGGAGAGGCTGTGAGAGAAGGCACTTGACTCGGCTGAGTACGATTTGGTTGACTTCTAGTTTTAACCGTCATCTGTTCCCTGGCAGGCGATGCAGCTTTAGGCGTTTTAGAGTCCTGGGACCTGGTCATAAGGTGATCAGTGCGCACTGGGGTGGCAGGGGTAGCGCCAGGGTCTTTGGGCGGTCGGCCTCTCCCTGGGCGGGGCATTTCTCTGGGTGTAGTGGGTTCAGACTCCATCTCGGGGGAGGCCCCCCGCAGCCGGCCACTGGTTCTAGTGGAGGCAACAACCTTTTCTTTCTCTTTGGGTTTTCGACCACGGCGAGCTGGAGTCGAAGCAGGTTCGGCCGATGCTGAAGCCGAATGCAAGTCATCCTCGTCATCGTCGGATGAAGGATGCAGCTTAAGCCCCCCTTTAGCCTGGTCAAGACCCTTTCTGGCAGCTTCAACTTGCTCCTGAACAAATACAATCAAAGCAAACAAAAAACTTAGCATATACCATATGATTTTCTATCCAAATCATACAAGTCTATATTTAAGTTTTCTTACCTCTGCTTGCTTCAACTCCTCTTTGCAAACATCTTCCAACGAAGCTTCCAGGAAATTCATAGCGTATCGCTCGATAGGAGTGAGCTGTAAGAATCAAGTAAGTGTTTAGTGTTTTTCTTTTTTTTAAGTCTTTTTAAACTCACTACCCTTGAAACTTATTTTATTATTATACTCCACTGAAGAAATTGTGAAAGCAGTAATAGTATTCTACTTAATATGAAAATTGGGTAACACAAAATGTCACTCAAACGTTTAGTCAAATGGCTGAAGGAGTACATTTTGCATTAGTATTTACCTGCTCCACTAGAGCTGCAATTTCCTGCTCAGCCTTTGACATCTCCTCCACTTCCTCGTTTTCGCCGCCATCATCCAGTGGAATGTTCTCATTAAACTCTGCCAGTTCAGCCACTTGCTCGGCTTTAGCCTGAGAAGCAGCCACAATGTCCTCCTCGTCTTCGGCACGACAGAGAGCCTAGAAGTTGATTATATAGTTAAAAATAATAATACATTCTTTTACTACAACATGTTATGGCTTTTGCTTGCTCCAACCTGCTCAAGAATATTGGTGCTTTGTTTCTGAACAGTTTCCTCCTCTTCAGGAGGCGGCAAAGTCAGCTCCACAGCTGCTTCTTTCTTCTCTCCATCATTGACGTCAAACAGCTCCCGAATAGTTTGCTGAAGAAGACGTAATACAGAAAACCATTTGCTTTCTTTGGTCCAAATCAGTGTTATTAATGATAGAATTTACCTCTTTGAAGAAGGCGGTGGTAAAGTTACCGCCTTCAATCGCCATATCTCCAAGCATCCTCTTTTGATTGGCTTTCTTCAAAATGTTCTCCTCCACTGTGCGTTCACTGATCAGCCTAAAATAGGTAATTAGTAAAAATTATTATTCTAAAGTAAACTTACTCCAAATACGCAATGTGATGATCATATCCATTGTATTAAAATCATACATCATTAAATGCAATCATACAGTAGATAAAAGGTTGGTAAATCTTACATACTGTCCCTCTAAATATGAATTTGAATAAATATTATTTTACCAGTAGTTGGATTTAATCTACAATTAATCAGGCACAATTTGTTATAAAAGCACAGAGGTTTCCATGTTGCTGACGTATCGAGCAATGATCCGTACCGATAAATGTGGACGTCTCGGGTCTGTCCAATTCTGTGACACCTGTCCTGCGCCTGAGCGTCCATTGTGGGGTTCCAGTCACTGTCGTAGAAAATGACAGTATCTGCTCCGGTCAGATTCACTCCCACTCCCCCACTGCGAGTCGACAAGATGAAGCAGAAAATGCGGCGGTCTGCATTGAACCTCTCCATTAACGACTGGTTAGACAGACAAGACATAATAATAGTGAGATAATGAGAAACATCCATTCTTGTTCATACACAACATGGAAACTAGGGCCCTAGTCACAGAACACAATAGAATGTAGTCATTATTACTACTCTTCTGCAGAGTTTAAACATTTTCCCCAATGAATGGCCAAGTATCTAATAGGTTCATGTCCTGGAATTCTTCAGTTGGAAGGCAGGTGCCTTCTAGACTAGAAGCAATTACTGAAAGAAATTTGGTGATCATTATTATTATTGTCATAAAAATACGGTGGATCTATCAAAAGTCCTTTCTCATGGCCAACATCATGCACATGCATTAATGTTTACTCTAAACATCTTTTAACTAATTAGACAATAGCTGACACTATACTGACAAAGATATGACTGCTTTTTGTTTCATGTGGATAGGGAATTAAAACAAGCGTTTGTTTATAGCTCTATAGTTAACAGAAAAGATTTTTAATCTCCACTACAATTTTTAACTATGGCTCTTTGGAATATGCCGATGTCACATGAACGCAGAGAGACAGAACACACATTTTAAAAATCACACTTTTAGTACATTGCAACATGTTTTACGATACAAATACAAAGCATTGATGCAAGTTCCCACCTGTCTCTGCTCTACTCGGGTGCTGCCATCCAATCGAAGGTAAATGTGGCCGTGGTAATTCAAAAACTGTTCAAGTACATCCAACATCCGTGTCATCTGGGTGAATATAAGCACTCTATGGTCCCCTGTCTTTAACTGCCTCAACAATTTGTGTAGAGTTTGCAGTTTACCTGTGGGGGAAAACATTCATTACAAATCACAATACAGACATTTTAAAGAGATTGTCCCATCCCAAATACTACTTACCACAATCGTATTGTATGAGTCTCAGATCTGGGAACTGCGTCCTCATGTTGGCTTGGATACGGTGCAGACTGCGGATGCGTGGAGCCACTTCAGCCGCGAGTGCGGAGGCCAGGACGCTCTGTTTGTGGGTCTGAGATGGAGGAGGATGGCAGCAGTGCATCGAGATGGGAGGACACTCCACTGAAGGAATGACGAACGTAAACCTATGAAAGATTCGATCATTTATATGTTTACAAGAACCAAACGAGCTTGAACATATCGTAGTTTTGTGGTTATAAAGTAAGGTATCCCAGCTTTAATTTTAGTACTCAGGGAGAAAAGTATTTGGTTACATAATTATTTTACACATTTTATACAATTCTTATTTTTTGGATTGCATGAGTTAACATGTTAGGTTCGAAAGGCACAGGTCAGGTATTTAGTGAGACATTTCATTTTACTATCTTCATCCAGTTTGTCCTTGTAGTCAACCAATGGCACATCCCCGTTTCGAGTACCTGTCAATTATATGCTTGAGCTGCTGGAGCCGATCTTCAATGCTGTAAATTCCCTCTTGCACAGCGGGACTTTGGAACCACATGTCTTTACTTTGAGCGTAGAGACAGCTGCTGTGTCCTGAGCGTCCCCAGTGAGGCCGAGAGCCGAAAGGAGACGGAGAGACAGCGGGACCCGAGAGAAAAGTCAAAAAGTCCAACACCTCTCGCCCATACACAGGTTTTGCCCCGCAGCGCCGCTCATTCACTTGCAGGATTAAGTCAAGTTTACCCTCATGCTGCTGCTTCAGGGTTTCTGCTAGCGATGGCTGTTAAAAGTTAAATTAAAAATCAAATTGAAATGCCATAAAATAAGGTGAAGTTTCAATGAAGAAAAGCTGCATACCAAGTAGAAGGGAGAACGAGGGAGTGGAGGAGGCACTTTCCGCAGCGGTGGTGGAGCCTTTGTCGCAACAACAGGTTTAAGTTTGGGTGGATTTGAAGTTTGATTACTGTTGCTGCTTTTTTCACTTGGTTGTGGTGCAGGAGTCTTGGGCACAGGTTTGGGCGCTGCCTGGGCTGGAGCTGATCCCAAAGAGAATCAGGTTACAAACATATATATACATTTTATGCAAGTATTAGACAAAATAAAAATAAAAATATTATAAAAAGGTAAAGGAATTAGCTTAGGTCGAGTAGAGGAGTTATGATGTCAGATTAGACACAGAAAATATTTATAATCATTCCATTTACTTTCTCATTTAACGTTTTAGAATGTGACATAATATCTTCAGTAGAAAATATATTGTGATACAAGTATCAAGGGTAAATAATGCTATTGGCCTGCCCTATCCCAAAGTATTGCCAAAAATAATTTACGGGCACTACATGTCAAAGTACAAATACATCATACTATCACAGGTTAAGAGAGGCAGAGTTACACATTTGTGCCATAACTTCCTGATATTAGCGATGATGAAATTAAAAACAATTCAGTTCAGTTCTGTTTTTGATGAGGGAACAGTGTTGTGACAAAGCTCCTTTACGGGTTCATTCACACCTTTTCTAATGGATGGCTACGTTATTATACTTTCCAAACGCATCAACACAAACAAAGTGAACTTGGCCGAAACAAGCATCGTAGTCCACTTGTCCCCTCAGGAAAATTCCTTTTAACTGGGGACCAATAAATGTGAACATGCTCTCCGTTACAGGTTAACTCCCAGTTTTGAGGTAGATTCTTCCCGGCATAACGTCATGTGCTTTGTGTGAGAGGCTAACAGGATGAGGATCAAAAAGCAATGCTAGTCTTGTCATGCACGCACAAACTCACAAACATATGAGCCAAAAACAGCAGTCACTTTCTCTCACCTGGCTGCGGTGTGGCTGGTGCAGATGTGAGGGGAGGTTGCACTACTTTCAGGACAGGACGAGGGGGCTGGGACTGACTGGGGACAGCACTAGGGATTCTAGGAGGAGGTGCTATGGTGTAGTGGGCGGTGGCGGGACCCGGGGTGCGGTGGGTGATCTGAATGGGAGCGGTGTGTCTGGCGACGGGAGTGCTTCTTATAGGAGTGCTACTGGGATACAGTACAGGCTGGGGGACGACACGGGGGGAAGGGGCCACGGCCAGAGTGGGCACGGACCCACCATCCTTGCCTGCAGTTTGACGTACAACTATCTTGACAACTCCAGAGCCGCTCATCACCGAAGAGGGCACTAGAACGCAAAACAATGACAACTTTAAAGCTGGGGTTTTAATAAATAATACATGTTATAATTGTCAAAAGATTTTTACTTTTACAAATATGACCAGATCAGACAAAATGTTGTCTTTGTTGTTTCTTGTATGCAAAAGAAAATGAAGTGAGTCACTTTTTGACCTAGCTATGTCAGGTCGCTGTAACGCTGATTTAAAAATTATCATCAATAAATGATTTTGCAACAGACAAATGGCCATTTTTAGGTTGAAATATGAAGTGCAGGAAAAAAAATATTTCCCGAAGATATTGCTGATTCAAAAAAAGTAATCACGTAATCTACTAATAAAATGAATTTACAAAACGCACAAATGTATCTAATTTCAATTGCGTAGTGATTTAACAAGATTAAGCAGTTTCATATTTCTGCAGTCGTTTTTTGCATAACCACAAAGTTAACAAGGCACAAAAGTCGGTCCATGTCCAACCAACAAGTAAAATTATTTTTTTTAAACTAATGAAAATTCAAAAAAGTCTAAATCTTATAATACTCGTCTCTTAACCTTACTTCAGTGAATTATGAAATATACTTTGATCGATTGCAGAAGATATTTTTGCGTTGAATTTGTTGTACCTTGTGAAGAGGCATTTGGAGACAAACGGTTCAGAATGGGGGCAGAGGAGGCCGTGTTGACCGGATGCGTGAGGGATGAAGTTTGGACAGTGACATGAGTGGGCTGGGTTATCAGGTGGTGCTGCCCTCCACTGGTCACAGCAAGGTGCATTACATTACCTGAGGGCACAAATAATACGGTTATTAAGAATGAAATATGATCATCAACGCGTGATCGTATAATAAACAATAAAGAGCAGTCTTTTGTTTCTGGTATCCAATAATAATAATACATCAAACTTACATAGCGCAGTTATTTTAGTTAAAAACGCTTTTCTGTTTACACTGTAACCATCAATTAAACCAATAAAAAACATGGATGTGAGTACCAGAATAACAACATAGTTACTTTATACATTTTAACAGGTTTAAATGGAGACTATATTTCAAATAGATGATTCAGCTCACCCTGGACAGGCCTTGGAGATGCGATCTGCGCTCCAGACAGAGTCAGCTTGTTGCCCTGAAGCTGAAAAGTGACCGGTTTGCTGCCCTGGCATGACGACATTGGCCTCCCAGCGAGAGAGGCAAGCTGGGCTATGCTGACAACTTCGCCAGCTGGGAAAACAGGAATAAGAACTCTCAGTAAACTATGAAAATGTTAGCCATTCGTACACTCCGCTCAATCACCATTTCACTGCATGTAGCGTCTGGGTCTGGTCCCTGTGTTAGCAATTACAATCGGTTGAAATTCGACCGACCATTCAGAGAGCGCAGAAGGAGAGTGTTGTAGTTAGTTGTGGGTGATGTAAAGAGTTTGCGTCGAACGGGAAGGTCGTAGTTTGGCAATGGCAAAAAATGCGATAGTAAAGTAATCCGGTCTGGTTCTATCAAGAAATTGAAGCCAGAGCAATAGGAATGTTTAGCAAATATAATCGCTAGAAAAAATTGTGGCGCTACTCCCCACGGGCGATGGGGAGATGGCTAAAGCTAGGCTAAATGCTAACGACTCACTCGGGCGCATTACATACGGCACGTAAACTCAGATCCAATGGTTTCAAACTGCAAAAGGAGTTAACCCCTCCCAACTGTAAACGGAGCTCAATGGAGCACCTCCAGACCTTAGTACAAAATGTAATTTGTACTATGGTGTGGTACGACCAGGCTATGAAAATGTAGTTAATTACATGTGATCTTTTTTTTGTGTTTTTCTTATTACATCAACTTTTTAGCATATTGTTCTCCCAGCGAAACCAAAGGGCAAAGTATTATTTAAAGATCAACAGCCTAATGACAGCATAAAAATAGTTCATAATAAAATAAAAATTGTTACTTACAGGGGAGGCGAGCTTGCATGTCAGGACTAAGCAGCACTCTCTGGGGCAGTACGGTGTTGGGACTGGAATGAGCTGGAATGCCCTGTGTTCCTGGAGCCAGCGGAGGCCTCACGGTCAGCACTGGTTTTGGAGCACTGGACCTCACCGCAGTCTGAGGGTGAATGACGGGGCGCGGCCCAGGGCAGGGAGCCACGGAGCAGACCACTGTGGAAGTACAGAACAACTGTAACAACAATTGAAAAGTCTGATGCAGATGTTTGTCTGAAATGATGGGAGGGCGACAATTATCTTGAGTAATCGAAGATTTCACAATTTATAAATGCGGAAATAGTATATAGTATCAAGCTGAAATCCAAAATCATTTCATGCATTAATTGCATTTTTAAATCTAATTGGTCACAATTCTCACTCATGAATTCATACAAATAAAATGATTATTTTGGGGCATCAGACAACAATATCAGCAGCAAATGGCAGCAATAAAATTCAATATTTTACAAATACAGGCATCTGGGAATAACTTCTGATATCACAGATAGTAAGGGTACTCATCCTTGAAATTATTTTCAGGAATGAGTTATTGAAATAGTCGGGCTTTGGATGCATACAAACTCAAGATTCTTTCTATTGGCTCAATGCCACAAGGTCGTTCTTCTGAATGATTTATATCATTTTCTCCAAGTTTTAAAACAGAGCAAAAATTCATATCTTTTACACAGTGCATATAAACTTGGTTTCCACTGTGGATTAAACGTTACTGAAGTCTCATATGAACACTTAAACACTTTCATGTTTAAAAATAGTGACAATGAGAAACACCCGACTTCCACAACACAAACTCAAGAAACACTAAAAGATATTGTCCTTATACAATTTACTCATCACAGGCCTATGTAAAGAAGTGATGCAACAGTAATGCTAGAACATAAAACAAGTTGAGCTTGCCTTGTTGAACTGCAGGGGCAGTTGCAGCTGCAGGTGCAGGGACAGGGGCAGGGACAGGGGCAGGTGCAGTAGTTACAGGTGTGGCATCAGCGACGGGAGGTGGTTTTGGGGCCTGTGTGGCTGGAGGCACTGGGCTGGTGGGTTTGTTCACAACTGGCCTGCTGTCACCTTTAGGGGGAGGTTGGGACGTCCTAATAGACATGGAAAAATATGTGAGCAACTATGTTATGTCACCCGAGTTACTGTATAACGGTAAGTGACTTCAGAAAGCCCATCTGGTCTGCTCACCTGTTGACCTTCATTTGAATTGGTTTGGGTCTTGGAGCTGGTTCAGGAGAGTCCACAATCTCCTGGATTAGCCGACGGGTGACTTTGTGCTTGGGCAAAAAAACATCTGCCTGGTACCGGGACATTCGAGCTTCAAGACCAATGAGGTCAAAGGCAGACAAATCACAACGCTGAGAGAGAAGCAAGAACAAAAAAATGCATTATTATGGATATTTTGTGCAAATAAGCAAAACGGCATTTAAAACTTAAGATACGTTTGTAGGAAGTGCCAGTGCCATGACACTTTAAGTTGATTCATTGATGCACAAATCATGTTTTAAATTGAATGTACAAACCTAACCTAATAATGGTCTTTTACCTGGAAAGGAGACACTTCGAGGGCTTCATGCACCAGTGAAGCAGTGTAGAAAACAATGGGCTTTGTGATGAAAGGCGACTGGATGGGACGAGGGTCAAATAAATTGGGGTGGTTGCACACTTTCCGGAGCTGCATCAAAATGTTGATCACAGACATGAAGTGGCCACTGGCTAAAGTCTCCCGAGTCCTACAATTAAAATGAACATTTTACAATCTTATCATGTTTAGTATTCAATGACACAACACTTTTTTTAACCTAAACAAAATCCATCTTTACAAGTATAATTTAATTTACAAAATGGCATTCCGGCACTTTGTTGTTACTTACGAAGCCTGAGCCATGAAGTCGTCATAGAGAAACCTTTGCCTCTTGGACAGCCGACAGCGCACTACATGCTCATATTTCTTGGGCATCTGCTTCTCCACATCAATTTTAATTCTGCGGAGGAGGAAGGGCCGCAGCACTTTGTGGAGCCTCTTGATAAGGCCCTCGTTGTACTCCTGACTGCCTTCGATCATCCCAGTGAGTGGGTTGGAGAACCACTCTTTGAACTCGCGGTGGGACTGGAAGACGTGAGGCATCAGAAAGTGCATGAGGGACCAGAGCTCCATCAGACTGTTCTGTAGAGGCGTGCCGGTCAGCAGCAGCCGCCTGTGACTGTGGGCAAGAGCAACAAAAAGAGAGGGGTAAGTTTTAATGTACGCTGCCGATTTTGTTTCAGAACCTCATTTTGGAGTGAAGACATAGCAGAATTTTTATGTCCGTCCTCCTGTGGTGCCTGGTACCCTGCTCTCCCCTGGTTCTTCTTTTAAATAACTTCTCCCGGGTCAGACTGAATAGGGCAAAACAAAGGATTCTCTTGGCAGGGCTTACAGTGGCTCAAAGGATGGGTGCTACTAGATCAGGCATGTCAAAGTCAAATACATCAGAGGGCCAAAAAAACAAATTTGCTGCAAGCCGAGGGCCGGACTGGTTCAATGTTTATTAACTCATTGCCTGCCAGCCTATTTCAGAACAGGTATTCCCATATTGCCAGCAGTTTCTGATGATTTTTATAGATTTTTCAAGACCCGCAGAATATTGTGTACTACGACTATCTGAAATCTGAAACCAGATTCTGAAAGAATAGACTGTCTACTTTCATCAGCAAAAAGAATTCTTTTTCTAGCTTGTAATCCCCATTTGAGTAGAGGGAAGTTTTACTGAAATCACCAAAAAGCTGAGAAAAAAGAGGCACAACAAGTGCATCTAGCTGTTTTCAAACCATTCAGAGAGCGCTGCTGCCACCTGCTGGCTCGATTCAATATGCTCTCAAGCTTATCCCCAAACATATTAGATATAATAGACATCTGGGAACATGAAAATAGCGGAAAACGCAATTGACGTAATAGTGCGTCAATGGCAGGCAGCGGGCCATGTAAAATTCATTCGCGGGCCGGATTTGGCCCGCGGGCCTTGACTTTGACACATGTGTACTAGATGGAAGCCTCCTCACTCGCAGTCTTTCCAGCGATTGACAATGACATTTGTAGACATTGCCTATCTGAAGCTCTCAAACATAATTGACAATATCAAGTAATCTTCTTTGGGTTGTTTTTCTAACTTGATGTCCTGGACCTGTTTGTGTGCTCATTTATTTTTGAAAATGTGTAAAAAGCTGTTTTTAAAAAAATAATCTAAAACTGTTTACATTAAAGGAACTTGTGTTCATAAATCAATGTTTCCTTTGTATGAATAAAGACAATGTTTGATGCCAGATGTTCTTTAAACTAAAGAGATTGTGGGTGGCTGGAGCATGACATTGCAGTTTGGGCAGGGTGCACTCTGAAGAAAAGCGACGTTTTATAGAGAGAAACAATATGTCACTCTAGAGCTGAATGTTTCAAGTCCCTGCTAAGTGTGCTATTGAACATGTTATAGGGAGATAACCGTCATAATCTATACAAACCTGTTAAAATTTAGAAGACTTTGCCAGCGCTGGGACTTGAAATTCTTGATGTTTTGTGCCTCATCCAGGATCAGGTAGCGCCAGGATTTTCGCCTGAATGCCTGGTGATCCTGCAGCACCAGTTTGTATGAAGTGATGCACACATGGAATGCATTAGGCTTGGTCCAGCCCTAGAACAGGGAAAAGAGGTTTGTCTTAAAAATTCTGTGCGAACCAACCAAAAACTAATCTATATATGATGGTAACTTTTGACCACAATATTTTAGTTGATTTAAGCAACTGGTACCTGTCTCTTAAGCTTCCTCTCTTTCTGGCTCCCAAAGTATGTAAGTATTTTGAAACTAGGACACCAGCGTTTCAGCTCCATTTCCCAGTTCAACATGACACTGGTGGGTACGATGATAAGATGTGGGCCCCAGTTACCTTCACAGAAATATCAACAATTAATATGTCTCAACGATCATGGGGAAATATGGTGGAGCCGTCTCTCTCTTACTTTTTTCACAGGCAAGGTGAGCCAACAGGGCAATTGTTTGGATTGTCTTGCCTAAACCCATCTCGTCAGCTAGAATCCCATTGAGTTTCTTTTCAAACATAGTCACCAACCAGTCCAGACCGATGTGCTGATATTCTCGCAAATTCCCATGAAGAAGGAAAGGGATTGGCGTTTTCACCTTTGATCATAAAAACAAAATCCTTTAGGTTTTGTCAATGGAAAATTGTCTTTGCCCCCGTCAAAACTGACCTTGGTTGTGGCTAAAGTGTAACCTTTGGGCTGGAGGCTCTCAGCAGTAGCAGCAAAGTGGCTCATGTCTTTCTTTGGCCGAGAACTGGAGGAAGTGGGGTTATGGTCGCCTTCTTTTAGTAAGATCTCCATTCCTTCATCTCCAGAGTTATCGTCTTCTGCACCATCCTCCTTCACACTCTGCTCTTCGTCACTGTCCCCTGTTGACTCTGAGGAACAATATGAAGGACTTCCAATAAATTTACAGAACATGGTATGGTTTATATTAGTTCTGCATGAAGAACATTCTCCAAAATCCACTTTTTAACCATGTTACATCATTGTACCCTGATCAAAAACAAATCTGTAGGTGTTTCTAGATTCAGGAATAATATTAGGAACTTCTGGCACAGAGCGGTTTTCTGGCCTGTGTTTGCAACCAGTAATTTTTTAACTTGAAAAAAATAAAATATAAATAAAAATTCAACTCCTCTAGTGGTAGCCCGCAGCAGCATTTTTTACCCCTCATACTTTCACCATCATTTCTACTCAAGATATTATTCCACGTTCTAAAATTTGAAATAGTATGAAATAGGGCTCCACGATATTATAGATTAGTGCGATATTCGATATTAGAGTATATTATTAAATAAAGCACATCTTATCTTATATTTAGCACCAATATTGTCATAACAATATTTCTTCAAAATATTGTGCAGCCCTAATATGAAAGTAGTAAAAAGCAAAGTAAAATCAACATTTTTGATGGCCAAAAATAATGCATTTTTGGCCATTAAAGAAGAAGATATTCTTAACACAACAGGTGTAGCATGCTACGAAGCTTTAAAATATATGTAAGTAGCATTTGCTCTTATATATAGACTTTAAACAGCTTTACTAAAATTATACAACTGGCAAAAGACACATTAGGACACAAAAATGACTAAAATTAATTATTATTTTGTTTTGTATTTCAACCTGATGACGATGTGTGACTTTCCACGTCGCTCTCATCTTCTTCACTCTCCTCCTCCTCATCCCCCGACACTTCAGAATCAGAGTTGGCTTTAGAGGCAGACGCAGATGGCTCTTCTAAGTCAGATGCATAAGCCCCTTTGTACTTCTCCATCAGCTCATCAAGACTCATATCCCCTGGGGGAAAAAAAAAACACTTTAATTACAGAAATATCTCCTCATTGGTGTCACCTTTTCTATATCAATTATTAAATGTATAAAAGCACAGAGGAGAATCTGACCTTCTTTGGCCAAGTCATCCAACTCAGCAGAGTGATCGACATTTCCTTCCACCTTCTCCTGGGCATCTATAGTGTCTTCCTCATCTTCAGCTAACAAAACAAGAGACAATCGTTTGATACAATATGTACAAATGTTGATTGTCTTCCAATTGAGAAAAGTTACCATCTTCTTCATTTGCAGTAAATTCCCTGTCTTCATCTTCCTCCTCTCCTGATGAAGATGACTGGTCAGAGCCTTCCATATCTGATGCTCCGTCCTGAGAATTAGCTCAATGTCAATGTAAAGCTTTATCATTATAATTGTCGTTTTATATTTGAAAGTATGTATTACACTCTGCTGTACCTGTGGCAGGTTGAGTGTGCTGAGCAGTTGGTCCAGAGGAAGTGAGCCCTCCTCTTTCAGAAGCTCGATCTCTCTGCGCCGGGTCTCAGCGTCGTTGCCTTCCCGCTGCTCTTCCACATCGATCGTCTCCTCATCATCCTCCTCCTCGCACTGAGGCTCAAAGTCTCCATCTATGAAAAAACAGGACATTTTCTTCTAAACACTGAGTTATAATGGAGTAAAACAAATCCTAAATCAATCCTTGTGTAATAGATTTTGTTTGAACAAAAACATTAACAGCATTAATTTCATGTATGCTTCTTTATAAATAAAGTGAAGAGAAGACCCACGCTCACTCAGTCAATTAGCGCACAGCCCAAAGCGTCAAATAGTGACTAAGTATGCATAACATGTTTACATGAAGAGAGCATGTTGTGGTCAAGTCTTAAGTCAGACTAGACTGACTTATTCTGTTGGAACAAACACATTGTGTGATATGGAGATTTGAAAACCTTAGTTTTGAGGATTCTTTAAATCTTTTCAAACTGTAGATTTGTAAATACAAATCCTTAACTTCCCTCCTGGGTGACTTACAGAGAAAGTTGTCAGACAGGTTCAGCCAGTTATGAACTGACTAAACATCAGGAACAAATGTTTATATAAATACACATTTTCATTTTAGAGGGAACAGAGAGGTCCGTAGACCTCCAGGGTTATTTCATTCTGATAAAACTGGCTTATATCCTTTATCAACTGAAATAAACAAGATATGAAAAGAATGATTTTGCATTCTTCTGTGTAATAACCTTCGTAAAGAAAGACGCCTTTATCCCTCAGTGAAAACCTTCGAGCAGTAGCTATGACGACATCCCTGTCTGAACCAGTATATCAGCATTGATTCACTTCCTGGATACTCGTGTGTCTGCAATTCTCATGTAGTTTAAACATTCTCACCATCTTCATCGAGAGGAACTGGTTGAGATTTCTGAGGCGATGTTGTAGTGTCTGTTTCAGCAGGTTTGGAGGCTGTTGCCAGAGACTTGCTGAGAAGATCTGAATATTTTTCCGTCTGTCCCACAATATAGTCCAGCTGCAGATCCAACGCTTTCTTCCGCTTTTCATCAAGTCGAGATTGTTGCTTGTACTGTACAACCTAGAAACAATACAATGAAAGGATCAAATATGTATTCATGGGACACTAAACTGTATTAGAGTTGAACATGTACCTTCTCAACACTGCTCCAAAATGCCCGGACTTCCTTGGCAATTGAAGCAGCAACTTTTCTAATTTTTGACTGTTCGTCCCGCTTTGCTTTTTCCTCCTTTTGTCTCAAGTCTTCATGATGTCTCATAACCATCCGTACAACCTAAAGACAAAGGTTTCAGTTGTTTGGATTTGTTTAAATTATTGACTCATATATAGTTTTATGACCATTGTATTACCTTTCTAGCAACACCTCTTTTCCAGCGTCGCTCTTGAGCAAAGTCTGCAGACAGCCACTGCATTTCCTCACACAAATACTCCCAGTGCACTTTGGGTCGTGTCGGCTCGGTCAGACGTGTGAGACGTTTTGTTGACCAGAATCCATCACGCTTCAGTGCCTGCGTCCGATTTTCAATGTCTGCTTCCTGTTTTATATAATATGCATATCACTCAGTACATTTCTGCCATACACACACACAAGTAAAGCTATTCTGTTACAACTCCACAGTAGATTCTTAAGAATTTGAGTATGTGGGGATCGAATGATTATGGGCCTTTTTTAAATCGCAGAATTTTTTTATTTTTTTAATTATGCTCAACTTAGGAGACAGTGGCTGAAAAACATTCTAAAAAAAACTCTAAATATCTAAAAACAGGACTTTGCTGTGGTTTATATCAAACCAATAAATGAGGTTTCCCTGAGGAAGGCAAGAGGCTGAAACGTGTTATTGCGTTTTTAAATGTTCTCATAAGCCAGGTTCAAATTAAGGCTTTTTTTACTTTTACTTTAACCGTCCTAGAACCTTGGAGTTTGTCTGTTTTCATCTTAAGAAATTCACACACAATCACCAAAGAGCAGCTGGCTGGCTTCAATCTCAAATGCAGCGCTCCCTATGCTTCTCGATAAATTATATAAAAACGCAGGTATGTTTAAAAAAAAAAAAAATCTTCTGATAAAGTGGTTAGATGATGAAATTGTCACTAGGTACCACGCATTACCTTTCCTAACTAGACAACACACAAAAAGTCATTGAAAATCGGAAAAACATAAACATACATGTTTAGCCTGCTCCGCCATATCAGAGTGGCCACGTGGTCGGTGGGGTGTGCTTTGATCTTGTGGCAAATGTAACTTTCCGAAAGATTCTCGCGGGGGAGAAGATCTGTCCAACCTTGGAATGGACCAGTCACTGCTGGTCGATGGGCCAGGGGAGGGTGACCCAGGAGAAGAATTCATTGATACCCTGTCGGCGATCCACTGCCGCACCTGAAGCCCAACAATAATTGATTAAAACTAAATAGGTATAAATTAGTTCAACAGACACAAAGCCATTGCAACATGCCAACAAGTTATTCCAGTGATTAGAAGAAGTGTGCTGTGGTGGTAGATATAAGCCAAATGTCTTTATAGAAATGAAAGTGATCATGTGAAAGCGTCATGCACATATCCTGTCTATCTTGCAACCAGCGCTTACCTTCAGGAACAGTGCTTTTCTGTCTGTCCTGCTCTGTCCATGCTGGAAAACACACATGGCTTAGCATGCGTTCATAATTTTAACTGGCTAAATAAAATTGTACTGTACAAAAAAATGACATAACTGAAGACATGTCAGGCTGCAACTAACCAATTTGTTTTACTGATGGTTGACTTTTCCATTAACTGGCTTGTTTTTATTACTTAACTATATTAGACCCAAATAAAGCGACAATGATAACATGATTGCCAAAAATATAGTTATAAAAATATACTTTGATTAAAACAATACGTTTTTCAGCTTTCTTGCTTATCTCTGCACCAGGTTTTAGAAGTGTCTATTAAGATTACAATTATTTACCGGTACTTGATGTGAATTAAATTAATACATGGATTAGCTGTGACAAATCAGTTAGTTACAACCCTTAACAAAAATAATATGTATCTGGATTATGACATGCTAGCAACCAATAGTATGAAATAACACATATTAAAATGTAAAGATATATTATACAGATAGATTACTTTGTGTGGCGAGGCTGGTGAGGCCATATCAGCCTCTGGTCCATCAGTCTCTGCTTCTTCATTACTGCCATCCTCTTCGCTGCTGCCCTCATCCTCAGAGCCGTCTCCTGGATCTTCCAAAGGCTCATCCTCCTCCATCTCCTCGTCCCCCTCTACATCTTGCCCCTCGTCGCCAGCCTCATCCGCAAAAAGGTCGGTCTGACTAACAATAGTGTCATTAAAGCTAGTTTCAGATGTACAGTCCGTTTGGGATGGTTCAAAAACTACCACAGGAACACCTGTAGAGCTTTGTGAACCAGTACTATTTCCATTATTTATGTTTTGTGAGAAAGGTTTACTTTTGGAGGTTTGAGACAAATCAGATGTAGTGGGAAGAGACGGTACAGGAGCTTTAGCAGAACAGCTTGTCTGTTCATTCAGGCTGGAAGGAGCAACAGAGATTTTCAGATCTGCAGCTGAATCCAAGTGAACAAGGCACTTGTCAGACACTGTGCCCGAGTTGTGGGCGTTCTGTCCCGTAGACACCTGTGCCAGGAGGGAGGGAGGGGGTTTGAGGAGTGGACTTGCCCCAGGTTTGATAAGGAGCAGCTTTGGGTTTATTTTACCCAAAAGAGTGGAAGTGGAGGCTGTGTCTGTCGCAGTAGTCACAACAACAGTGTGTATTGTTCGCAAAGGGGCCATTGTTGCCACAGTTTCTTTGGCCTCTTCATGTGAAGAAACACAGGGTTCATGCTTTGTGGCACTCAAAACAGTGACCCCAGGGGATGGTTGTAAACATGGCTGCCTGTCCATGTGCACTGCAAATTGCAATGCGGATGTCTGAGAGGACGATGTTACATTTGCTTCCAGTTTGTGAAGAGCTTCTGATTTTCCTGGAGTTATTTCAACCTGTGTGCTAATGTCCAGCGCCTCTGTGCTGGTGTTCACCCGTTCAACAGGAAAAGAATCAGATGTAACATTGGAAACTTCAACCAAACAAACCTCATTCGAGTTTGTAATTGACTGGCGTGCATCCCATATTAAGTGTTGCTGGACTGCACCTACACCAGTATTTTGTATGGACATAGTTTTTACGTCATTGGTTGTACATGCCACTATTTGATTCACATTATGTGATGAAAGCACAGCCTGCTGAGATATTATAACACCATCACTTTCATCAATAGTGTGAAATGTTGTATCCATTTGTGACTCCAGGTCTTCTTTGAGCGTAAAGTCATCAGAGTTGTCCAGTAATGCATTAAACAAGTTTACTTCATAACCTGGGGAATGGGGGATCTGAATACCACTGCTCCCACACACAGTTTCCTCTGCCACCTCCTCCACAAGGTCACAGAACTGATACACTATAGACTGAGAGTCCAGGTGAACGGTCTGTCCAGCGGAAAGCTCCGAGCCCAGGTCATTGATAATAGCAGCTTGGCAAACAGTTCCATCTTCCCGCTGGACCAAGTAACTCTGATTGAGATGTACACCAGACCAGTCCCCATCCTCCCTGACAACAACAATTTCGTGAGCATCAGATGAGTGCACAATCTGAGCAATCAGTGGCATTTCAGTGGAGTTGACTGGTTCTGTGGGGCATGTTCCTTGCTCAGACTGTAATGAAACTACATTCATTACATCTGTGCCAACTAAAAGTGGAGTAGATGAAGGTTTGGTGAAAGTGCCCTGAATACAGAAGTTCTCTGACTGAACTGATGAAACTGTATTCAGGACATGGGCAGGATTCATGCCCTTGTGACCCAGGTCCTGCACACGGTTGAAGTTTGAAACATTTAGAGCTCTGGGTTCTGGAGTGGACTCAGAGCTTGAGATGTCATTTCTGTTAGATAAGGGTGGTGTGAAAGTTTGTGATTGTGAGTTCTGTTCAGTAACAGTTTTGGTGAGCAGCTTCTCTTCAATAGCCCTATAGTGTGCTGCATCTTGGACTTCAACAATGGCCGGGGAGGCAGTAGTTGAAGCTTGGAAAAAAACTGATGGTTGTGAGGAAACATTTTCACTTGTGAACTCTGGTTTAATTTCCGAGGTGAAAGAGGCTTTCTCTTGTGTCCCTTGAATATCCGCAATTTCAGCGTCTTTAGCTGGTTGACTCTGGTTAGTCTGATTATTAGAGGGGTTCTTTTCTTCATTCGTTTGGGACCCGTATTGCAGATTTTGCAAATTGTTGCTAAGCTGTATGTCTGAGGACAGAGGAGGGCAACAGGAGGTTGGGTCCCTTTGCATTTCAGATGGATGGCAGTCCTCAGAGGAGGAGGTTGAAAATACTCCAGCAATGTTGGCAAATCCTTCAGCAAGTCCTGGTTTTGACTGCTCGTCTCCTTCAGCAGGCAAGTCCTCAAACAAGGTGGATGACTTCTCTGTGTTGACAAATGTTGGACTTTCACCATCCAACAATGGTACTGCGGGTGCTTTAGGTGAAGGAGGTACTGGGCGGGGGGCAGCTGTGACCGGCTGCGGGGCATGCTGATGTGACTCCCCAGCCACATTGTGTGCAGCCTGGGAGTCAGCACCCAGCACTTCCACAGCCGGGGAGACAGACTGCCGCACCACCTCCCCCCCAGAGATCTGCCCCTCTTTTCCGCTCTGGATGCACACTGCTCCTAGGAGGACAAACTATAATTACCAACAATTGAAATCAAGACCATTATTCTAAATAGTCACCTGTCTTACCTGTCTGATGTTGTAGACACAGATCTTCTGTGCTTTCTACTTCCAGGATGCTGAAGTTAAGATCCCCACCACATTATCTGAAGGAAGAGAAAAGAAAATCATTGTATATAATTTACTAAGAAACCTAAACATTAGAGATTTCTGAAAAGTTGTATGGGGGACATTATTCACATTTCCTATTCTGGCTCAATATAAAACTTGTAGAAGGGATGAAGCAGAACAGTGTAGCCTGCGATTATGGGTTCAGTCTCACACATGCAGTATCAAAACACGTAATGCAATGGTAATTGTTATAACGTGAATTAACATACATAAGGATGGGCTGAGGGCTGTAGACAACAGTGAATGCTGTAGAGAGCAGCATTTGCTGCAGTGGACCATGGACGTGTTCTCGGAGAACATTCAACTCAGGAAGACGTTAGGAATTCTGCAGCACGCGCTCCCTGGCTTCAGTGGCAGAAGGCGCGCGGGCCCTGGCCATTCATTTGTACCTGAATAAGTATAGCGTTACCGCATATACGTTAAGACTTTAAGAGTTACTATGGTTACGGAGAAAGATTTTCTCGGAGCAGAGGTTTTCTAAATGTATGATACAAGCACCGCTGCTGCACCGGTGGCGCTCACATGATGCGTCTGGAAATGGTCTCAACAGTTTACCGATAGTCGCGTTTAACTTAGCACGCCATGCAACATAGGCCTGTGATAATGTATATATATTTTCAGCTAAATAGGGGAAACGATATATGGTTTGTCGAGGGCAGTTAGCTGCTAGCGTTAGCATTTACAATAACACTGCTCGGATGGCACTGAAGAAAAGCCTGCTAACTAGCAGGCTACAAGAGTTAGGAGAGCTTGGTACATTTTTTGGTTGAGCCTGCACGGCAATCCGCCCACAACTGTGTAAAAGCGTGGATTTTAAAATAACTAATCGGTGTTGACATATTTTATTAAAAGGCCTTTTAAAAGTAAGTCAAACCATGTGAAAAGTCACATTAAAGCCGCTTCTACATACACTACAGAGGGGGGACAATCACTGTGACGTCACTGCGCTGGGTCGAACCACCAAAAGACTAAAAAGTTAAATGCCATCAAATTATTATTTATCGGCACAGGCAACTTTAACTTTTCACCGAGAGCAAAAACTATAAAACATGTTATTTAGTAGAATGTACATTTTGCAACGACTGAATGGGGGTGCTCCAGGGGGGAATGCACCACAACAGGGCAGGCACTTTAGCATGGACAGACGTTGAATCAATGGGCAAACATTCACTGGTTTCGGGCATAACAAGCCCAAAAGACATTTTTGTATGTCATGTATCTTCTGTTCAATTTTGACTTGTCAGACATGAGATAATTAAACAATACGCATATTAAATGTAAATGTATTTTTGGGACATGCTGCTAAAGTGTGTCTCTTCGATAGTCGCGTACACCCCTTTCGGGCCCCCATTACTTCCTCCTTGTCCCCCTCCCTTTTCAGGCCGCCATCTTAAGTTCCCACCTACCTGAAATTTCCGACCAATTTTCTTTTACTAAATTCTTGTTGAAAGAGCCGTCATCCGCACAAAATCACATTCAATCCGTGATGTAGGCAATCCAAACTATCTCCCGGTACCCAACGAGGTACCAGTGTGTCTGTGGGAAGAAGTTAAAATACGGACCGGGAGAGAGTGTGTTTCGGCGCAGAATGTAGCGGTCGCGGGGAGGAGACTTTACGCAGCGAAATGGTGGAGGGACGCCGCTGCTGACAAAGTACAGATCCGGAAACTCTCGCGAGAAAACCCAAGAGCGCGCCACTTAAATGTTTATATTTATGCTACTTTACTTTTAACATTATTCATTTTCAATAAAGCAAGGTTTTATCAAGAGCGATTATATCATCTGACTTCCATTCACTACAGGTTTACAAACACATCCATTACATTAAAATATTAAATAGATAGATTTGGGACGCTCATCTCTCTGGCAACAATCCCCATCACTCTTATCTATAAAGATCCTGTATACATTAGAGCATCTCATTTATTTTGGGGTCCACTGTAACGCATCAAGTCTGGGAGGAAAAAGCTTTTAACATGTATAGTTGTAAAGAAAGAAAGACCAAGACGACATAGTAAACAACAATTCATTTAATAATTAATCTTTGTGGTCTCTAGGGAAGGGGTTTGAAAGGTATAAAATGGTCATATTAAAATAATTGACCCAGTCTTTTCCCTCTCAGTTGACCCACTGTCTTGTCACCCTTGACACGATTCTTAATATTTTTATCTTAGCATGTCCCACTTTCCATGTATATAACTTATTTTCATCAAAAGGACATTTAAGTGTTCAATGCTCCTGTCCCACTCCCAAATGTATACACATAGACCACACAGGCAAACCTACCTCTATGTATTTAGGTCAGATGAATTTCATGACGAGGCGAGGGGTTACAATTCATAGGCCTCACATAAATTTTATTATTTGATGTGAAGCAACCCAATGATTTTGTATGACCTAAAACATTAATTTGGGAGAGGGTTACTGGTGGATACCTGAAACAATGACAATAACATAACAGTGAATATATTTATTATTATTATTATTATAGAAGATAATTAATGTCAAGATTAATATTACAAATGCATTTATTTTCTACACTACTATATTCTGGTCCTGCTCATGTAGTCAGGGGAGAATGGGAAACTGTAACAGGAAGCTCTAAAACTGTGTTTACTCACACAGTGCAGCACAGTTCATAAATTTGAAAACAAAAACAAAATAAATGAGATGTAGTTATGAAGCTGAGGATATGGGTTAGATTTTTGGGAGAAGCAGAAAGCTGAGGTATAATGCCAACTTAATTATATGGTCCTTACAGCAATGTGTTCTTTATAATGACCCAAGACAAACAAAATTTGGACACACTACTTTTCCTCTGTTCAGACCTGATTGACAAACATATCTGATCATCTTTGTCAATGAGGACTTTTAGTAACCGTAACTAACCAGAATAAGAACCTTTACACATTTTCAGTTGTACATTTTGATGCACATAAACCAGAAAAGGCTTTCGCAGAAGCAGTTACATATTCATTCAACCACTACAAAACCTGTCCTCTGCCTCTTCAAACAGAGTTCATTATTGACTACTGTATTAAACAGCAATTACAAAAAAAATACACCAAGGATGCACAAATCCATGTACCTTTAGATTGCACTGATAACTAGTGGATATATTTCAAAGCCACAATAAGTCTTGCAATTACCACCAACATAAAATCCAGGCAATCACTGATGCGTATGGTTTACTCTGCGAGAGGAAGGGTTGATAGACAGCAGCACAGTGATTCTGACATTTCCCTTAATATCCTCCAGCATCCTCCCAGTACTATCTGGACTCTCCATCTTTATGAGCACTAAACAGAGCCAGATCACCTGGCAAACCGAGTCTGCGAGGAGGTGTGGCGGACCGACTGGCCACGGACGGAATGAGGGGTGGTGGGGCTCCCATTGACAAGGCTCCCACTAGCCCAGCAGGCGTCTTTGCCAAGATGCCATTAGCCATATGTGGGTTTAGGGGGCCTAGTCGTGAGTAAAGGCCTGCATGGTGGGCTGCAGAGGCTCCTGGTGGAAGGTGATGGGACAGGAGGCCTGGGTGGAGCTGTTCAAGGTGGGCAGCTGTAGCAGCATGAGACGGACTGGAGAGGTGAGGCCCTGGAAGGTGAGGATGCATGCCAAAGTAACGCGCCCTTTCAAAGTCTTCTCGCAGAATCTGGGCACGCTGCTCCTCTTCCATCAGCACACCCTGGTGGTGTCCAAGCTGATGGTGGCGGTCAAATGGGTGGGCCATAAGGCTGAAATCCTGTCGAACATTAGAACTGGAGGTAGACGTAGGTGGATGGTGCGCAGCTGCCAATGCAGCAGCCCTCTCGGCCTCCAGGAGACGCTGGTGCTGGAGCAATCGAGCAAGATGTGGATCTGATCTCAAGGCAAGATGAGGGTCTGACCGAAGAGCCATGGCCTCTCTGCGCTGTTGCTGATGCTGATGCTGCGCTGCCAGCTCCCTCCAGGGGTCCCATGTAAAGCTGTGAGGCCCCTGAGAAGGTCCATGAGCTGGTCCAGGATGGAAACGTTCACCTCCTGGGCCAATCACTAGGCCCCCAGGACCTGCACTGCTCAGGTAAGCATCGATGGATCGAGAACGGTCAAGCAGAGAAAGGTGTGGATTTGGAGTTGGTGGGGGAAGGGGAATACCTGGAGTGGGTGTTAAAGATGATGAGGAAGGAGTGCCAGACCTGTGGTGGTGTGGATGGCTATTTGGACGGTCAAATGTATGATTTGGTGCTGGAGGAGGTGGTAGTGAGATGGGGATGTGCTCTGGTTCTTCCTTTCTTTCTTCTTTGACTTTGACCGGGGGAACAAGCAGTGAAGACTTGGAGACAGGTGTTGTCCGATCAGATTTCTTTGCCTGAGTTAAAGTGGTGACCGAGGCAGAAGCTACAGAGGAAGCAGGATTGCTCTCTCTTTGAGAGTGTGTAGATTCACTGTGGTGGCTGTGTGCAGATGAACCAATAGTGCGTGGATAAAGGTTCAATGGAGAAGGTGCTGATGGGTTGGAAGGTGGCGGGGTGGTAAGCACAGAAGAGGAGGACGACCGTGGCCGTTCTCCTAATAAAGTGGAAGAGCCAACAGGAGGCCCCCGTGAGGACACTGTTGGCAACGGTCTCTTATCAACATCTCTCTCCCGGTCTCTGTCCCGATTGAAACTGCGCGTCAGGTCTTCAATGGGTCCACTGCTTGGCCCAAGGGCACTGCTGTGGCCATTTATGTGGGAAACCGGGGTGCTACTGCGGGGCTTGAAGGCAGGCCCAACTGGAGACATTCTCACAGGAGGTCGGCCATACAGCATATTGTCTCTGCAAAACCCAACAAAAGGATACATTTAGTCAGTGCATGAGGTCATGCCAGATGGACAAACTTTCACTGAAATCTAAAGATTTACCTGTCTTTTTCATCTTTAATGTGAGGAATCTCTCTTCTTTCTGCATCTTTGCCTCGATCTCTCTCGTCCCTTCTATCTGGGCCTTTAGCCCAACTGGGCCCAGGGAAACCAGGAGGACCACCAGGAGGACCACCAGGAGGACCACCAGGAGGACCACCATGCAAACGGCTCCAAGGGTCATGATGATTAGATGACAAGCCCCCCACTACACTTGCTGGGGAGTCTTTAGGACCAAATACAGAACCACCTGAAAAATGTCACAGAAATGCACGTTAGTGAAAAGTCCACAAGTGTAATTAAATCTTATATTGTGGTTTACCTGGCTCAGAAAAGACAAAGATAATAAAAAAAAATACAAATACAGCGCAACTTCTATTCCTTTAACAAAATGTTCCCCAATAACAAGATTATTTTTATATATTTTCTGTTTGCATTTGTATATGGAAAGTATATTATTTGGTATTTAAAATACATTACAAGAATAGATATGACACTGACCCAGTGATGGGCTGCCCAGTCCCCCAAAGGCACCAGAGCCCAAGGCTCCCAGCGGGGTAAAGGGTGGTGAGCGACCATAAGGATCTAAAACATACAGGCATTAATTTAGAAATACTGTTCTGCCATTGAGGCAATTAATGTGTGAAACAGGGCAGAAGGATTTTGACAAAGTATCTAATTGTGATTTGTGTAGCAATCATCGCCATTAAATTTGTCAATTTTATTCTCATGCTTCTACAAGAGCAGTGGTAACAGTATGAAAGCCATAAAACATCAGTGAAAAAATGTGTGAAAGGTTTAGAATTATAAACCAGACGGAAAAAACAGTGGAGTCTGCTGTATTTTTCCTCACACTTTTTGCTGGCTTGCATCTCAGGGCTTTCGTACTGACATTTTATTTAATTAAAAGCTAAAATATATAAAGAATTACATGCATTTCAGAACATTTTTCAGAGAAGCTTTTAGACAGAATTTATATATTTTTTTGTCAATTTGAATGCAATTAATCTTGAAGAAAAACTTATGTGTAAATTGGCCTATTCTCTGCATAGGTTTTTATATGTGAAACTGGATAGTTGTCATTTACGATGGGTGCCCCATTTAATGATGTGTGGTAAAAAATATGTATCAGAATGTTATAACAGCATACCTAATTGTGATGGAGTCAGGAACGAAGAATGTGGTGTAGGTGGAGAGATGAAAGGTGCATTGGAAGGATTGACACCTCCTGAAACAAAGATTTTATATCAGCACACAAGCACCAAGTATGTTTTCTCTGTTGAGATTAAGTAGAATTTGCACCTGCAGCAGAAAATAAAGTAGGAGGCCTTGTCAGATCATGAGAAGGGGGCAGTGATCCCCCCATTGGTCCGAGAGGTCCAAGTCCACCAGCTCCTGGAAGACGGGCCAATAGATCACTCCGGAAGTCCAGTTTGTGAGGATCGGCTTGCATTAACTGCAAAACAAAAAGTTATGCATAAATCGACTTATATTAAAATGCCTTTAGAGAATTTTATGAATTAATGAATAACCCCTAATACAGTTGTTAGTGTAAAAAGAGGGAGAACCAACAGAGCGTTGAGGAATTCAAGATTCACTAAAATGTTACTGTACATACCTTTACTTTCTTCTGATGGCTTAAAATCATCCAGGCCACGTAGACATGCATAGCACACCATTTCCCTGGTTTCTGCAAATCATAAACAGAAAACCCCATTAGTTCAAAAACTACAAACTCTAAACAGCTCTCTAAATAAAAAGATCCGTCTGCCTATCAATTGAATCAGTGGTCTGCAGCAGGGCTTTCAGAATGAATGCAAGAACTTTACAGCAACTTTTTTATATTGACCTTTATCTAACCAGGATAGTCCCGCTGAGAGTCAGGATCTCCTTTTCAGGGGAATCCTGACCCCAGAGGTAGAACTAATTTTGCAAACCTATGGGTGGGTTTGCAAAGAGAACATGCAAACTGCAGTCAGAAAAGGCCCGGTGCTGTCTGGGTGTCAAAGCAAGAGTGCCAACCACTCAGCCACCATGCCGTCCTTGAAGCAATTGAAGTAATTAATTAATTTGTCTCTAGCTGGCAAATATATAAACATGTGCGAAGAACCAGCAGCAGTGAGACTACATTAGTCAAATGATTGCATGAAGAGAGTGAAGCTGTGAGTGACGAAAAACTTTAACTTTTCAGTCAGTTTTAGAAAACAGCAACAAAATCAGTGTATCCTTACATTACTGATTTTCAACGATGTCCCAAATGGATCAGTAAGCTACAACAGAAAAAAAAAAACCACCTTATTAAACACCAAGTCTTGTTGGCTTTCAAATTATTGATTTCACTCACTACAGCAGCACTATGGCCACATTGAAGCACAGTCTAGCCTAAGCTAAGCCCCCTAAAGATCATTGAGGAAAAATCGTTAGTGTTGACTCACCCTGGGGTCTTTGGGCTGAAGGTGGTGAGGCACAACCCCAAGTCGAGCAGATAGGTCAGGAGCATTTCCCTGAGGGACAAGAGGCTATCAAAGAGAGCAAAGAAATACAAGATCACTAATAATCCCCCATCCAAATAAAAAAACAAATACATAAAAAATAACCCCCACATCTACAGGAGAAAGTATAAAAATAAAACATTTGTAATTCACTACCATTTTTTTTTTTAAATATTAGGTAGATACGCATGCCCTGCCTTACCTAGATTTTTTAAACTCACCTTTGGCTGAAATGCTCCTTGTAAAGAGCTGAAAGGCCCAGTTGGAGGAATCACAGGCTGAATACTCGGCACAGGGGGTTGGAATTGTGGAAAAAACTATAACAATAAAAGAAAATATAAATAAAAATAGGTAAGAAAGAATGTTGGTTCGCATCTAATCTACAAATTGCAGTCAAGTTGAAATACTCACAGGGTGTCTGTACAGCTCATTCATTTTTCCATACTTCTCAAACTAGAAGACAAGAGCACACGTTTATTTATTTTTTTGCATTCTAAATTAAAACACACAGAGCTTTAAGTGTAACTCACCAGTGGTGGTGCAGCAGCTGGTGGGTACTGGAAAGGTGTGAAGTGTTGATGTGTGTGCGTGTGTTGGTGCTGGTGGTTGTGCTGATGGAACTGGAAGGCCAGAGGCTGGATGCTGGGTTGGCTCTGGGAAGTCCTGCTTGAAGACCCAGGTGTCGAACTGGAAGCAGGAGTGTTGCGGCCTGCTGTGGCATTCTCTGATCCAGGGACACTACGGCGGCCTTCGCGCTCTTTTAATAACAAGAAACAAATAAGTTATAGCCGTTATAGCTCACTTACAGATAATGCTTTAGCTTATTAAAAGATCTGGTATAATACAGTATGGTAAGATTGCAGGTTTATTTTAAATTAAATTTACCTGCTGCAGACACATGCGATGGTCCTTGGAGGAGAGGTGGTGGAGGTGGTAGACCAGGAGATGAGGTGAAATGTGCTCCACTGGCTCGTGACGGGGGTCTGAGTGGCAGCGACGAGTTAGAGCCTCTGATGTACGACAAAGACACACTCGTAGATGGGGTGGGTGGACGCATAGAGGAAGATGCGATGGATGAAGCCGAAGATGTTGGTTTGACAGGAGTACTACTCCTAGAAAAGAGTAATAGACAAGGATCATAAACCAACCTTCTATACCATTTTATAATTATTCATTCATTTCAATAACCCACCTGTTAATGCCATACATAGGTTGTGATCGGCCAGGTAATGTGAGAAAGGGCTTGGGTTTTGAAAGAGGAGAGTTGGCGTTGTGGCGGCTACTGCCACCATTAATGGCATTAGGTCGAGGAACTAAGGAGTGGGAAGGAAGGCAAGGAGAAGAGGTAGAAGAAACTGCTTCTGGGAAATGTTGTTCCTGGTTTTTCTCTTGACTTCGCTCCAGACCAGACACACGCGGCGTCACCATCAACCGTGAGACAGTCCCACAGCGCGCCTGGAGTGGGGGGCCGTTTTTGCCAATGGACGATGGGCCCACACTTGCCACTGGTGGTTCAACAACTAAAAAAAGAAAACCTTGGGTATATATGTGACGGGTAAAGCAATCCAAAAAAATGGAAACGAGTATGTACCTTTCCTTGTACTAACAGTGAAGACTGGGTCGATTTCATTGTCAGATGCCTAAGAACGATGATAACATTTAAATTATATTTTTTGAAAGCAGTATTTAAAATAACACAAATCAAACAAAAAAATGCATACCTTGCCACCAGTATCACTCTCAGTGTCACACTGGGGAAGGTAAAAAAAAACAACAATATTTTCATTAATTAACAGTAGTTAAACTAAAGGAAGCCAAAACATTATTTGATGTGTATATTGAATTAAATTGCTTACAATGTAGCCCGTTTCCAAAGGCATCCCCTGAATAACACACATATTTACAGAAATTAAAACACCCACAACAACTTGAATAAGCCAAGCTTGGGCAAAAATCTTTAACAGATGGGACATTTTTCTATTATTCACCTGCTCATCAAGTTTTCTTCTTTTATTTCGATTAAAACTATGAGGGCCGCCAGCCTCTGGATCTGACAGCGGACCGCCTCCATTTTGCTCAGGACCTCGTTTCCCCTTGTTTCTTCTTCCCGGGATATCAGAACGTTGATTGGGCTTCAGAGAACAGTCCATCTTTGAAAAGTACATTCAGACAACAAGCAGTAATCCATTAGTTTTGGCATTAGAGGAAGAATGTACTTGGTTTGCATCTGCCTTTTCAGGCTAGGTTCATTTAAACTCAAGAGTTTTGGGCATCTCATCTCCATCTTGACAGATCATGAATAATTTAGGCCTCTACAGAATACATTAGAGGAATCTTTCATAAAACAGCCTTGAGTGGGTTTTACACACCAAGACCAAATGTTACATTTAAGCCTTTAGACAGCGTTTCGACAGAGGTCGGTTTAACGGTTTAAGATAAATGTGTGTTTATTTCAGATATGTTCATTGAAATTAAGTTTACACAGATTAGTTTAACGAAGAGACGAGTAACAATATTGAGCCATAACAAGCTGAACCATAGTACCTCGAGTGCCTCCAGGCTGACGAAGCTGGCGATGGCGAAGCCATCAATGATGTCCTCTTCACAGGACACGGACTCCCGCTTCCTCCGGCGCGGCGGCCTGTGCCTGCCGAAGAATGGTCTGCCTTCTCGCCCTCCGGGTCCACGGACTCCGTTGGTGCCACAGGCCTCCTGGTCGGACCCGGAGGACAGAGATGTGGCTCGCGGCTCAGTCATGTCCACTCGCCGCCTCCGCCGCTCCCTGTCCCGCTGAGACCTGGACCGTCGGCTCTGTCTAAACCCGGTGCTGCGGCTGGGACCCTCCATGACCAGGTTCCGAGCTGTGACACCAAAGGCACTTTAACCGAGATCCAGTCCGGCGAAGATTTAACACAACACACGGGCCTTTAACAAGAGCCCTGCAAAATGGCGTTAATTGAAACAGTGGGTTTTATTCTCCGTACGTCGAGCACAGTCTGGTGGCATTCGTGCCTTTCTTTCGGCGGAATTTTAAAGTCATTTCAATAAGTCTTATTAGAAAGATACATCCATAAAGAATCGGTTTAAATCCACGGCATGCACAAGTCAAGTGTCAGAACACCGCTGGCTACGTGCTAGGGGGGGCTAGCACTAGCTTGCGAAATGAGTTATACGCATGTAAACAAAAAGACGAGACCCCAGTAATGTCAAAACAAAGCCAATCCTGGTCTCTGCATCTTTACAGTTCAACACACCAACAGGACAGAGAACATATCTCACTTCAGTACGTTATAGCCCTAATTATAACACTCTCTGTCACATTTATTTCCGTGAGCAAGATGTTAGCAGTTTAGCAAGGCCAATAACCCACATATGCGTGAGCAGCCCCGGTACTGACACACACCCGGGCACACACTACAAAGTCTTCATCTCAAGTAATTTTAAAGATATCCATCTCTCTTTACATGGTCTATATTATACTATGACCCAGATTTTCAACTAAACAACTCTTTGGACAACAAGTACGCAGTTAACTAAACACAAATCATATAATGCTAGCTATAAGTCTAAGAATAACAAAATATTCTTTAAAAAAAAAACCACCAGGATCCTGGTTGCAACGTTCACCAAATCATATAAACCAAATTCACCATTCGGAGGCTAAATCGTTCCAATGATATGAAATTAAAGGCCGATTATAATGGTTAATTACATCCAAAGAAAGACGTAATGTTAGCACAGTGGCTGCTAGCTTTAGCCGTTCCAGCTGTTAGCCACAAACCTCTTGTCCGTTTAGACGGAAGTGCAGAAAATGAGAAGTCCTTCACAACTTAACACCATCTCAGTGATTCGATTTTACTTTTTGTGCCCAGCTCTTCTTCCATTTTAGCTCCATTAAACAGAATTATAAACAAGGCCCAGTCGGCAAAGCCTCGGTGTGGATTTCCATGATCGGGGTGTGGGCCGAGCCCCTTTGGGCAGGGCAGCTCCTCCTGCAGCCGACTCTGTAATCCAATGTTCAGGACAAGTTGAAGCACACGCCGGTTCCAGTCCAACAGATTAACTCCTTTCAAGCCACAATGTAAATGGAGTGGCTGTGAAAACAACCAGTCCGACCCTGGCTAGTCACAAGTTTCTAGAGAATAGTAAATTTCTGGTTAAAATAAGGAGACACAACCCTTGTCAGTGCAATGCATTGTGTGCACCTCTCTTCTTTCCGGCCATGGCCAGACTTCATCGTGGTTCCCTTTGCACAGACTGCCACCATGTGGGAAAACCTGAGAAATACGCTTTCGGAACAAACCATAACCCTTCATTGGAAATTAAGCAAATCCATAATCGTTTTAGTTGAATACCTTAAACAAAAGCTTAAATGATATAAGCTGTCACCGTAGTGCACACAGAATATCTGAGAAAGCAGCCCCCAAGAGCTTTGTTATTCAAACACGGGGATTGTCAGTGCAATGTAGCGGTAATTAACATAGGGTAGATACAGCTAATATACATTTTTGTTTTATAATGCTAATTATATATATAATGCTAATTATAAAACAGATTAAGGTTTTGTTAAAAAATGTTTTAAAATGGGTAACCTGGGTTATATGGATAACCCAGTTTGTTTATTTTTTACATCCCAGTCATTAAACCATTGTGTACAATCGTTTGTTTACCCATTCGGAATCAGTTCAAGGTCATTTTTCATTTGTTCTGGGACATCATTTATAAAACTTGTAGATTAAATAACATACATACAAACTTATCCATCTATCCATTCCATCCATTTTCTACCCTTTAACCCATTTCTGGGTCAGGGGGGTGGCAGTCGGCTGCTCTCTGAGTGTGTGCATAGCCTTGATCTTTCAGTGGGGGCTTTGGGCAAAGTGGGGTTAAGTGTCATTTGGGGTTAAGTGTCTTGCCCAAGGACACAACAACAGCAGTCATCAGTGGGAGTCGGTGGAGTAGATGTAGAGGTGGGAATTGAACCAACGACCTTCAGGCCTGAAGGCCAATGCTCTACCAACTGAGCTACTGTCACCCCCTTTACATGCACTAATATGTACTTATGTATTAGTATGTATATATATTGTATACTATATTTTAATCTTTTTAACATATTTGCACACTTCCTGTCTTTTTGCATAACCTGTGATTCTATCTATGCCAAATGTGGCATGTAAATTTCTCTATTGTTAATCAATAAAGTTTATCTTATCTTATATAAATATTATATTATTGATTATGAATTGCACTGTTTTAATGATGATTTCGTCAATTTGTGTGTAAGGTTGAAATTACAAATTAAAATAGTTAATGCACCCATTCTGCCTCATACCTGAAATGTAGAACACATTCACATTTTTTCAAAAAAATAAATATAAAAAAAGAGTCCAGTAGTACTTTCATAGATCATGAGCAAATCAGGACACATACATTGACACATTTTGTGAAGTTAATGGCACAAATAATTATAGTTTTATTAGGGTGATTTCATCATGAATAATTTCCAAGTAAGGAAAGACCCATTGTATTCATCATATGGGCTTTGAACACCGTGAGAACAATAAAGAGTGAAGCAGAATACCAGCAGCAACTGAGACATTTAGTGACTCTATCCCCGGGAACAGTACTCTTCCTGCGGGTATGGTCAGAAGGGTTGAACAGTGAGTGAGTAGCTTCTCAGAAAGTCCTCCACCCTCACCCCCTATTAACAACAAGGTGGGTTTAGACATGGTAAAATCTGAGCATTGGGTTACATGAGACTCTCTCGATTCTGCCCCAATTGTCCCCACCACATCCCAACCATGCACTTTTTTCATTTTCACCAATTCACAAAGATTGTTATGTCCATACACCTCCATCACCTCCATCACACCTGAACTGGCTTTGCTTACTACTGGGGACAAGGGACAGCTTTGAGAAATGCTGCTCACTACTCTGTCTACACCAAGAAAATAAGCAGACCGCAAAATGGCACCTAGGTTCATTGGATCTTGGACACATTCTAAAACCAGCCAAAGTGGCATATTTGTGTCCTTTCTGGAGGGGAGACAACTTTGACTTTCCTCTGTGACATAAGCAAGGGGACTTGATTTAAGGCACACTCCTTGATGTACACGTCCTGGTGCCATGTTGTCAATAGTCTTTTTACTAACACGGTGAATTGGGACACCATGTCTGAGAGCCCCTTCACAAACTTTCAAAACAGATGTTCTCAGAGAAGTGTCCCCTTCTCTCACAAAAAGCTCAAAGATCCTCCTTCTTCTTTGCGTTATGGCTAGTAAGCAAGGGGCTATCCCAAAGACAAATTCATATTGGTCTGATCTTGAAACTTGGCTTGTTTGTCGCTTAGTCTCAACTCTCTTTGAAGTGTATTCATCATCCAAAGATAGTTTTTTGAGATCAGATGAGGAAATGGCACTTTCTCTCTTAATGTTATTCCTTGGTGTCTCGCTGCTCCACGCGTTATTAGTTCTCTTCGCTCTAGAAACCGCAATTTTTGGCTCATATTTGGCTGCCATGGCGTTCAGTCCCTTTAAGGCAGGACTCCTACTGGAGAAAAGAACATGGTTGCTAGAAGAAAATCCCCAACCAACAGAAGAGAGAGACGGGCGAAGACAGCTCCTCGATAAAAACACCCACATATTGTATTAGAATTTTTCTGTAAAATCAACAGTTAAATTACTCCTCTTTAACAAACGGTTTCGCTGTTATTGTAGGTTTCACTCACACGTGAGTTCGAGTCGAGTCCCAAGCCTACCGGAAGCAGAGGTCATGAGTGATCTTCACAATAATAGCATCTCTGAAAATGTTTGCTCCTTTTTACCCCACAATACTGACTTACTTTACCATTTAGGCCAAAAATATGATACATAATTTAAATTACTATGTACAAGCATATCGATTACAATATTAATTGTCTGTACCTGCAAGACCTATTTTTGTTATTCACTTTTATTTTGGTAGAGTTTGATGTGCCACAAATCTACGTAATTTCCCGGACGTGAAACTTCCCAAACGCGGAAGAGAAGGACGAAAACAAATAGCCGTTTAAACTTCTCGTCTACACTCTGGGAAAACATATTTAGTCTTCTAACGTCTTCTCTACCCTCAACACCAGACACGGTAGGCCTCAGACATCGCAACTGCAGTTTTTAATGGGATGTGTGCTGAATGTGTCTGACGGGTCTTTCTTCTATCGCCAATTTAATATCTAAGGTTGAAACTTCAGTGGAAAATACAATTAATGGGTCATTTGTTTATATTTTGCATATCTCTGGCAAATCACTTTGGATTTCGATTAACACTAGCTGTCACTGTTGGAACAGTGACGTTAAACTCCTTTTACTGTCGTAAATGTTTCCCGTGTGGCTGTTAAAAGAAGCACATATTTCCACACCTTACAGCGACGTAATGGAACAGGGATTCAGCCGTCATCACTGGTTAATGTGACAGGTGTCTGTCCGATCGATTTGTCTTCTTAGACCACGCATTTTTAAATACAAACAAAAAGAGCAACTGTTATTTAGACCCTCATTATTGTTGTATTTTTCTTAGTATTATGTATGTAATAATAATGAATGCGTCCGTTTGCATGTAGATGGACTTTCTGTTTGGGAAAAGGAAGACTCCTGAGGAGATGCTGAGGCAAAACCAGAGGGCACTCAACAAAGCAATGAGAGAATTAGACAGAGAAAAAGCCAAACTAGAGCAACAAGAAAAGAAGATCATTGCCGATATAAAGAAAATGGCAAAACAGGGACAAATGGTGAGACTAAATTACTTTGTAATTAGTTCTCAAAAATGTTGGTTGTCAACATACATTTCCTTTATAGGATGCAGTGAAAATAATGGCCAAAGATTTGGTTCGAACAAGACGTTACGTTAAGAAGTTTATTATGATGAAAGCCAACATTCAAGCCGTCAGTCTAAAGATTCAAACACTCAAGTCCAACAACAGCATGGCTCAGGCAATGAAAGGAGTCACCAAAGCTATGGCCACAATGAACCGACAGGTCTGTCTTCTTAGTTGTAGATTCTATTATGGACAGTGCTCAAACATTTCTATAATGTATGTTATTTCTATAAATGCAGTTGAAACTTCCTCAAATCCAGAAGATAATGATGGAGTTTGAAAAACAGAGTGAAATTATGGATATGAAAGAGGAGATGATGAACGATGCAATTGATGATGCTATGGGAGACGAGGACGATGAGGAGGAAAGGTAATGTCGTTATCAAGGACTGTTCCCCTTTGTGTTTAAAGGTGTGTGTATCTGACTTTTTTATGTTTACTTCAGTGACGCTATCGTATCGCAAGTGTTGGATGAGCTGGGCCTAAATCTGACAGATGAGCTGTCAAGTAAGAACATTTTGAATGCTATACATTTGTGATTTTCCAAAAATTATTCAATAACACATAAGCCTTACCAGTGCATTTTTCACATTTCAAAAATATTTTTTTTTATAAAAGAAACTATCAATTTTGTGTGTATCGTTTCAGACCTGCCCTCTACTGGTGGAAGTCTGTCAGTGGCTGGAAAGAAAGCAGAACCCCAAGCTGCTTTGGCCGATGCAGATGCTGATTTGGAGGAGCGCTTGAACAACCTTAGAAAAGATTAAACATTGAAAACACTCCAGAGAAAGTGGTGATACATGTGCATCATTGAAAACAATTTTTTTTAATACCTCAGCATTAGAGGTAAATGGCTTTTTGTTTGTTTGTTGGTGATCGTTTTCACAATCTGGTAAACAAACATGTAATTGACAGCCAAAAATGTATGAATACTAACTTTCATTAGAGGTCATAATTATGTATATACACTACAAACCGTGAGGATATTTTATTGCTGGAGCTTGGAAAAAACATTTTCCCAGTTTCCATTATTAGATTGTTGCAGTCATAGTAACTTCCACCTTAGAGTATACACAACATTTTATATATATATATACACCAACGTTCACGAAGGAAGACTGAGAATTCATTGGAGGGGCCTTTTGTAAAGTTTGATTTTGTTTTGTTTGTTAAATAAACTTTTCCAAACATTTTTTTGCAGTGAGTAGTCATTTAAAACAAAATTGTAGACTAAATCTGCTTTATTCTGAAAATTGTAATCTGTAACTTTCAAATCTGTCCATTTGTCAACATACAATCATCGAACAATTGAATGTACTCAACACTTAAACATTAAATAATAAAAAAATAACAGCCATGTTTTATGTACATTTGTCTGATAGCTATGTACAAATAGATCAATGCCGTATTTCCAATCAGCGGACACATACAGTATGTTGGCAGTACTGAAGCTGCAACAATTGCCTCATGAAGGTGAGTAAAGCAGTGAAGAACGTTAGAACCAATCACTGACGACACCGAATAGCTGCAGGATGCGGCACTGCGTTTACTACAGCGAGAACAGCTTATTAATTTTAAAGGCTATTGTGAATGTGAGCCAACTGCATTCTTGTACACAGATGCATACAAGATATGCCTAATGATTACAGGCATTTAAGCAATTAAACGATTTAGAACACTAATACCTGCATCTGAACTGTGCTGCGTTTACTTCAAGCTGTTACAAATGCAGCAGTAGAGCTAACCTGTTTTCATGCTTTCAAGTAAAATATAGTTCTGGAAGAAAACACTCAAATTGTGAATTCGCCATGCTACGGCTTTGAAACATGCAACTCACATAAAATAACAAAATCAGTTCTCACACATTAAGCTTCTTTAGTCAAAAATATAGTTTCTTTCTCAAGACACAACCCTGATGGAGTTGTGCCTTTTTACCTCGATAACTGCATTGAATGCTGAATGTGGATTAAGCTCAGGTATAACATCTAACATTGATATGTTTTTTTTATGTAACAATATAAGGAATACAGAGCACAATATATTTTAAACTGTGCCATTTGTTGTTTTTACGTCTATTCACCAAATAATGACATACAAAAGTTAATGAGTTTGTTTAAATGTTTGACAACCTAAATTTCTATCCCAATTAAACACTTGTGTAAATGTTTTGATTTCAAAATGAATTCCACATGTTATAAAATGTATTTGAAACCAATCGCATGCAAGCCTTTTTGCTCCAATGCAGCTTCATATTTAACAGCTGCTAATGGGAAGACTGCAGCATCAAAGCTGATGTGGATGGTGCAACTAAAACACTTCCTTGTGAAACTGACAGCAGTTATACAGTGCCACTGAGCAATGCCATCAGTGCAATGTGACATTCAGGCTTCACTTCCTACAGGTTCGATGTGGAGTTTGCTTCTTCGGAACTTCTATGCGGCATCTACTTTTGTCATCCAGCCATGGCAGCTCAAAGTGCCTGCAACAAGAGACTGTTTTATAGAAAAACATTTTTAATCAAATTACCAAATCTTTTACACCCCACTTACTGTTGGGCGAGTTTGGGCAATGGTCTGCCAAATGCAACCACAGGTAGGAACGGAGTTATCACTATAGCTTCAACTGAAAATAAACAACAAAATCACTCCAGTTACAGATCATTAGTATTCACAGCGTCAGTGCCATTAATTAAAACGTACCATCTTCTGTTTCAGGGTAGAACGACGAGAGCTCTGGCTCAGACTCCTGCACCTTTTTCTTATTCATGCGCTGCTGTAAACGATGAAACATGCGTTGCTCTCTGATGCGCTGTATATCCCATCTGGAGAAAACATTTTAAATTATAAACTTGCAGATTAGATTTTGTCTTATGTTTAAAATAATAGATACCTCTTCCTTCTCTTCTCATCCAATTCCAACTTTGAATGCCGCTTCAAAAAGGTATTGTCATCTAGAACCTAGTAAGTAAAATTATTACGAGTGGAACTGAACATAATAAATGTAGATATTTGGCAGAGCAACTAATCTTACCTCAGGTGGAATAAAAGAGGGGTCCTCCTCCAATGGCTCAATGTGATTTTCCCTCCAGGACGGAACTAGAAAGTTGCCCAAAAAAGAAATAATAATTTTAATTTGTGACCAAGGATTTGGAGACTAGACAGTGACAGTGATTGTATCATTATATAGGTTTGGCTTACAAATAATCAGCATATCATGTACTACATGAGGAGTCGACTCACTGGCCACCTCTTCCTCCTTTTTAGGGGAAGTCTCTCGCAGAGGCGACAAGGGAGGCTGGTTCCAACAACAGAGGTACATCTCTGTTGTTGACATGAAGGGGAGATCCTCCATCTCACAGCTCAGCTCCGGGTCCTCTTTACACTGGACCATGTCATTCTCTGTCCCACATCTGAACATCTTCTCTGGAGTTTCTTTACTGCGCAGCTCTCGCTGTAGAGGAGACCCCGGTTCAACAGGCTCTGATTTTGGACTGAGCGTTGCACTTTTTGATCGTGATTTCTGAACCTTTAAATCCCCAAAACATGATTTCCTACAAGCAAAGCAAAAACAAGCATGTAAATGGCACACACATATTTTTATCAATACAGCATTGGCAACACTAACCTTTTTTGGCCTCTGTTACAACGATAATTTAGCTGAGTTGGTGGGTTTGGCTGAGGAGTCTCTTCAACATCTAAATCCCAAATGTCTTCTTTATCTGGGGTCCAAGGCTCCAGCGGCTGAAAAAGACGTTTATCACGCGGCCCATCTTTCCTTGTGAGCTGCAAGCGACGCTCCATCCGCTCAATACGGGCCAGCAACTGGAACACAGGTACATTGTTCATTTAAAATGAGATGATTGTTCACTTGTTGATGTTATTAAGGAGTGAACAAGGTTTACATACAGTTTCTTTGTCCGCCTTGAGCTCATCAATCTCCTTGTCCTTGGATTGTAGTTGTTGTTGCTGTTGTTCAATGAGGTCCAGTTGAAGGAGCAGGATCTGACGGAGGCAGTTGGCCTGTGCTTGAGGATTGGAAGGACTTTTCCTTATGTTCCTCCATTTCCCCTCAGATGATACTTCTATAGAAGCAGAGCCAAGTACTCCTTGTACAACCCCCTTGGCACCATCATCTGCCCCAGCATCTTTAGGGTTATCCATATTGTCAACAGAGAGGGGTTTACCTTTCACCGGGGTTCCCTCACCCCCCATTTGTCTGACCGGGGACAATACCCCTCCACTTGTGTGGTTTCCTTGAACTGCTTCAGCTATTGTCCCAGCAATAGCGACTTTACTAGTCATATAATTCTGGTCTACGTCCTGGTTGGGGATCGCACCGCCCTGTGCGCCATGGACATCTATGACAAAGTCACAGCACTCCCTCTTCAGGATGACAGGAGTGACGGTAGAGGTTCCGACGTTTCGAGTTTCGCACTCTAGGCCGTCTGCGTTGTGCTTGAATCCTGCTTTCGGAAACAATGTGGACCTCAGAGTCATGGCGAACACATTTGGTTCCCTCGTTTCTGCAGCGCCTCAGCGGTGCTTCTCAACCACAGCTACTCTCCATGTAACAGGCTGGAGCGGCACCCTGGGGACAAAGCAGCACAATGACACCTGGCAATCCTTTTACATAACTCGAGTTCATTTGGAAACACTACGTGCAGACGGTACAAATCCCACCAGACGCAATCAAACCACACAAGAGATACCCGCGCTGCATCCTTTTCCAATAACTCCCACCCGGTAAAGAATTAAACCATAAGCTAACGTCTAGCTATAATAGCACAGCATCTTTAACGTCAAAACGTTAGATAATAACGGCACGTTTTACATAAAACAGTCACAAACATTCTTTTAAAAAAAACAGACAGCATGGTTTCGTATATCTTAGTCTGTACCCGGGAGTGGTTACGCAGGACACGGGCAGCAACCATCTCCTCCATTTTGGTTTCTCATGAAAAACAATAACAGCCAGCTAGCATGCTAAAGCTAGCTGCTGAGTTTGAACAGGAAACGATCTGTGTTGTATTTATGCTGTATTTTTATGTGGTGAGGCTGTAGGATTTCCGACTTTTCATATGCAAATACTATTTAAAGTAGAACCTACCATTGATGTTATTGAAGTCCACCTGCAGCAGCCTCCATGTTCCCTCCTCAAGACTTGTTTAAAGCAGCGTCCACTGCGCATGCGCAACAATTTCGTATGGCAAGCTTGTTTTTAACATTCGCTACATGCGTAAAGGTTTACAGTAAATGGTAGAGGTAAAAAAAAAAGAAAGCAAAAAGGGGGTTAAGGCTAATTATTTTTGAAAAATGTATGACTTGAACGATTTTGTGAAAACCACACTCATTCGGAAGCGCAAAATTACACTAACAAATTAGAGGGGACATATTTACTCCCATCTATTCTCTATCACATTCTAATGCAGTTTATGAATGGGACTATATTCTCCACTTTGATTGTGCCACTGGGTTCAGCTTGCATTCTGAGGATATTCATAAAACACATTTTTTTAGGATAGGTAGGATGCAAATTCACAAGAGTAACTTTTTACACAACGGATTACATCATCTTACTGCATTCAACATTTTTGCCAAATCATGTTTCTGCTGTTCATTCATTTTCATAACATTCACCAAACCGCTGGAGGTCGCCACTTCCTAATGTCCCGGTCCGTGTGCACTTCCTGTTAGTGGACCGGCAGCACTGTCCGTCTCATATGACATATTTTCAGATATTTTATATTGTGTTTCAATGATATAAAGAAGACAGACGCATTTCTAGTTATTGTGTGGAAAATAGTGACCTCCTTGAAAAATACTTAGAGCAGCAACAAAATGCGAAGAGGAGTTGGAGCTGGGGCTATTGCCAAAAAGAAGCTTGCGGAGGTATAAAACATGTTCAAAATATGTCCTTTATTGGTGTAGCACTGTTAATATGATGATTTTTACGTTATTCTTGAAGGCCAAATATAAAGAAAGGGGAAATGTTTTGGCAGAAGACCAAATAATTCAAGTAAGTAGCTAGAATCAATGTATTTCTTGGTTGTCTGTAATGTATCGCCAACCTGTTTCTGTTAGGTTGATGATGATAGTTGTTGCATGTACTGTATTTCTTCATAGATGTCCAAGCAGCTGGAGACATTTAAGTCCCACTTGGAAGAATTTGCCAGTAAACACAAGCAAGAGATCCGCAAGAATTCTCAGTTCAGAGTTCAGTTTCAGGAAATGTGTGCCACCATAGGAGTGGACCCTCTTGCATGTACGTTTATTGCTTTTAAAGAAGCATGCTTTCTTACTAAATGTATGCATAATGATAGGCAATCAATATTTCGATCTTTCACAGCTGGAAAAGGGTTTTGGTCAGAGATGCTTGGAGTTGGAGACTTTTATTATGAACTTGGTGTGCAGATCATTGAAGTTTGCCTTGCCCTTAAACACAGAAATGGAGGTTTGTGTTATGACATTAAATACAATTCCCATGCATGTAATAAAAGTCACACTGCTTATTTATGTTGTTTATACAGGTCTCATTACACTGGATGAACTTCATCAAAGAGTACTGAAGGGAAGGGGTAAATATGCACAAGACGTTAGCCAGTAAGTATTATTTATTAATACTAATATTAATTTTAAAACTATCTAATATGCATGATGGTGGAAAAATGTCTTTGTTTCATAGAGATGATTTAGTGAGAGCCATAAAGAAACTGAAGGTGATGGGGAGTGGATTCGGGATGATTCCAGTGGGTGGTTCTTATTTAGTGCAGTCTGTCCCAGCTGAGCTAAACATGGATCACACTGTTGTATTGCAGCTGGCAGAGGTAAGACCTGCGTTGTTTTATTCTAGTGAGATCATATTCCCTGTTCTCTTTCCCTCAAAATCAAATTGTCCATTTCCCATATTTAGTTGACTGTTGTCATATCATCATATTGGTTTTGGCTCACACACAATGTGTGAACTAGGGCCAGTCTACAAGCACTTAAAACAGAGCAAAACTTAATATTATTATAAATATCATATGAATACAGACATCAACAGTAGAGAAGAAAACATATGTGTTGCCTAAAAGTTGAGTTCTGCATTATAGTTTAGTTTGTTAAGGTACCCCCTCTTATTGACTTCCACCTTAAAGGTCTATAGGAGGATTTTCCCAAATTTTAGGAAAGAACCACCCTCTCCACTTTTTGAACTAATCTTATTTGAGCAGTATCACCAGAATGATTGACAATTGGAAGGACCAATGAGGATCCACCCGGAAGTAGAGAATTCTCCTATATACCTTTTAATATAACGCATATATGATTATATAGCATTATAAGAACATAGGATTTGAATGCGTTTTTTTTTTTTTTGTAGGTCCTCTAACAGGAACTGCAGCAAAGTAGGGCATTGCCTGTGTATTGAAGATCCATGTTGTGTTGTGGAATTTTCTAGCTACATGTCACAACTGTGAAACTGAGGCGTCTAAAGGAGCTTGAATTAGAAAGATTGTTTTTCATTTAATGTTCAATTAATGTTTTGTTTGATCTGTCTCCTTCTCTCTCAGAAAAAGGGATACGTTACAGTTAGTGAGATTAAAGACAGTCTCAAATGGGAGAAAGAACGGGCTTCCCATGTCTTGGTGAGTACATACCAACTTATTTAAAGTAACCATAGCATATTGCATAACCTATTTCTCCACTTACATCAGATCTTTTTACTTATAAAGTGAAATGTTAATTGTATTGGTAAGGTTTGTTCATGATCAAATGTGTGTCATTTAAAGTTTTGTTTTGTTTCAAGCACACATATTTTGAAGATGGGTAAGAGGACTGAAGAGTAAATCAGAATCTGCATATTTCACACTCTACTGTTTTGTTTGCAGGATCACCTTCTCAAAGAGGGACTGGCGTGGTTGGACTCCCAAGCAGCTGGGGAGGCGCAGTACTGGCTCCCAGCTCTGTTCTCTGAGCTGACATCCCGGGACATAACTCCAGAGGAGGCCAATCAGATGAGCCCCTAAAGAAGATCTGGGGGCTGGACTGTAAACAGTGTGACTCGGGACTTTGTTGACAAACAAAATGTGCCATGGGACACATGACTGCTGCCAGAAGAGGTGAAGTCACTGGGATCATGTTCTGCACACGGAAAGCAAACGACTCCTGTGCAGCCTCTCGAACGTCTATGCAAAAAGACCAGATATATATATATATACAGCATACTCGCACAGCTACTGTATGAGTGGTTTTTTTCTCTCTCAACCCAACAATTTAGATGGATTTGTAATGTAGGGTGTATACACAGTAAAAATAAAGTGCATTTTATGCTAAAAATGATGAGGGGAAAACCCTTTTACAATTGCTAAACCAAAACATTTACTGGCACCTTTCTTTGTGTATTTCTTTATTGAGAGAATGGAAACAAACATATTTGTTATATAAAATGTGACACTGGGTGATCATGGTTTATGAATTGCGAGACTAATTGATTAAAGTGTTTTATTAACTTCATAATAAGAATTGCATTGTGATTAATACACATTAAATTCATGGCTGAATGTGACATTTATGTCACACACTGTTAAACATTCAATATGGCCGCTTCACCTTTATTATCTGATAAAACAAGCATTTAAGAGGACTACTGCAGTGCATCCAGAAATTAAAATAAATACATGTAAACATCCATTTGATAGCAGTTAGGTGTTTCTGTTTTTGATGCTTGGTATAGCAGATCTTTATGAATATGTCCTTTGGTATTTTATATACAATTAAAGCTTAACTTTGAGCTGTACCTTTCTACATGAGTGCAACTCATGTGAGTACTTCTCAAGACTTCTCAAAAGAGAAAATGTAGACGGTTACATTTTATGTGTGTGGAATGAAAAGACAATCCTGGCTAAATTAAAATTTGAATATTTACAATGATGGCAGAGAAGGTTACAAGCCATGGCCGTACACGTGGTTTTCAAATTGTCTCTGCTCCATATCGTCACATATCATGGTGCAGAAGGGGCAGACGCGATGGCTCTGCTGGTGCAGCTCCAGTTCACCCAGGGTAATTCCTGGGAACCGCTCCTGGCAGAAGCTACACACCATCAACTCCTGGGGTAAAAATAGACAGGCTAGCATGGTAACAAAATAGGGGACGGATTATGTGTTAAATCCACATTTGAAATCAACAGTACACAGGCTGATTCAACTCAATATTACAATATTTACACTTAAAGCTAGGTTACCTGACTGATGATGTGATTTAGGGCTACACCAAAATAACTGCAATTTAATTGAATGGAACTTTCAAACCACAACACACCATCAAGTATGAAGTATGAAAAATTAGTGTTTTCTAATAAGATAAAGACTGCATGTTGTAGTCTAATTTGTTCACAACCTTTTACTTTCATAAGACTCTTACTGTCGGGGTAAAATAATGTATTAATCTTCATGAGGAGAAACTTCAAATGTCTTGCTAACCTTTTTGAGCTTGATATTCTAGTAATCTAGTAAAATACACATGCAAAAAGATAAAAAGTTACCTCTTCCTCTGTCACTTCTGTGTTACCTACAAATGAAATGACAAACAAATGTACAATAATGGCGTTTAAAATGAATGGGTAAAGCTATAATAGAGGGATAACAAACCGATCATTTCATAGGGTTGCTCCTCTGTTATGAATTCCTCATCGATTACGCTGGGCTGTTCTCCTGGCTCTGGTCTGCCCTGGTCAAGCTCACTTTCCAATACGTTGTGTGAGGGTTCTACAACACCTCTGCGCAGCTCTGCAATATTGTTTTTTAAGGCCTGAAGCATAAATACCACAGTAGTCAACAGAAAGATCCGGAGATTTGGTCATTTCACACACACTGCACCTGGTTTTCTTTGGCAAGTTTTTCCTTCTCGCGCCTGTCGAGCTTGATCATATCCTCCTGTTGTTCTCTCAAGGCATCTTTTTCAGCAATGAGTTCGTGAGCCTCTCGTAGCATCATCTGAATGTGTGAAAGAGAAAAGAAATACGAATCACTCATAGATATTTTTGTACTTTGAAAATACGTCCTATAAAAACACCACTGTCCCTGTTTATTCTGGTGGCCTTCATACTGCGACAGTGGCTGAAATGGCTTGTAACATTTAGAGATTTAATTCAAGTGAGAAACTAGGACTATATGATTTTCTCATAAACGAAACCCTACAAAAGCGATATACAGCTATGAATACAAGTTGATTCTTCCTTAAAATCTGCTCACTTGCACTATATCTTTTACTTTTGCTGTTTTCCCATATAAATCTTTCTACTTTAAACTAATTAATATTGGGCAGACAACAGGCTTACCCATACAACAATCTATAGCATATATTTATGTTATGAGTTCATCATATTGTTTGATTTACTGGGAACTACTTTCTCTTGTCGATTAATAAAGTAAAACTACTGTAAATTATATGTTTTTCACTGCAATGCACAAAATACAGAACTCAACACTTCATAAATACTATTCTTTAAAAAAACCTTGTCGTCTATGAAGTTAAATCAGTCATGGGAAAGTAAAAAGTCCTTTGAGGGTGAAAATCTTATGCAATTATGATAAAAAACAAGTGGCATATTAGCACAGAGAGTACATTATTCTTGTTGATGACTAGTATTTTATAAATATTTATCAGTATTGTTAGTTTCATACTTGAAATTTGTTATTCTTCCGTTCTAATTCCTCGCTGAACGCTGCCACGTTGTTCAGTTGTTCAGTGATTTTTGACATCTCAGTCTGAAAGCGTTCTGTTTGTCTTCTGGATTCTTCCTTCTCAGCGGCCAATAACGTTTTTACCTTTTGTAACTCATCTGAAAGCTCGACGGTCTTTACCGAAATCACACGTAAATGAATAATTAATATAAATGTTTTTGTAATGTAATTAGGAATTACTCTTTACCTTTGTGTCCTCAGTTGGACCATTTTCAACTGGTTTTCTTTGCATTCCCAGATTTTCCTTTTGTAAGTGTTGAATTTCACTCTGCAGCTTTTGCAGCTCATGTTGTAATCTCTGTTTTTCTGTTTCGCTGCATTGAAGATCCACCTAAAGAGAAGATTGGCTTTACAATCATAATGTGAATCTTTCAGTCGTTTATACCTTTAGGAGCTCGAGGTCGTCTTGTGCTCTTAAAAAATCCTTTTCTTTGGTTTTTAGCCTGAAAGAAAATTACTGTATTATTCAGTAAAATTATAAAGAGTTAAAATGAACTTCTTACTCGGCTGTCACCGCTTTTTGAGCTTCATCGATTTCCTTTTGCTTGTCCCGTTCCTCCTTCAGAAGTTTAATTTTTTTCAATGCTCTTTCGTATTTTTCCTATGACAATGGTGAAATGACATGTCACACACATTTCCTCATTTAGGTTCACTTACGTGGTTTACATTTTGTTTAGCCGCATCAGCAGAATCTAGGCTGTATTTTCTCTGTGGTCGAGCCTTTGTCATGTCGAGAGAAAAATAAATGTACATTTTAAGCAGAGACTTGACATAAGTAAACATATCACCACTGTGTTCAGTAACTTTAATACTTTTGTTTCCACAGATTTGCTCTCAGTTTTTGCTTTTGTTATTTTTGATTTTGGCCCTTTCTGCAATCTTGCAGACTGGTGATTCTTCCTGGTCCATTTAATTTGATATCACTGAAATGTCGATGTTCCCATCCATACCATCAGACCTGCCCAAAAGCCCTCACCTTCCTCCATCCCTTTCCAAACACAAATGCAACACACATGGAATGTGGCATTTGAACTAGCAGAAACCTCAATAATATTAATCAAACCTTAATCATATTAATCAAACCTTAATCATACTAATAAAACCTTAATCATATTAATCAAACCTTAATCATATTAATCAAACCTTAATCGTATTCATAAGTTTAATGCCTACTGCAAAAAATTGATATTGTCATTGTAAATTCAGCCATAAGGATTGACCAATCAGATCTCTTCATTCACAGGAGTAACACCAGTTTGCCTTCTAAGAAACCTCCATGGCATAGTTTGCATCTGTTTCTGTTACGGTATCTGAACAAATGTCGATTTAAAGAAATTGGCTCCAGATAACTTATGTTCAAATCGGCTTCATCCACATTTGACGAACACTATGGTGATGTTAACCCTCAGTCAGTCCGACCCTAATACACAGACTGTGGCAACTACAGATCCAGAGGAACAAGTGTAAGAGTGTAACCATGACCCAGTAAATAAGAAACATACCTTTAAATTGTCCATTTCCGATTTTTGTGTTTGAAAGTCACTTTTGAGTTGATCTCTTTCTTCTTCAATGTTATTCTTTTCTGTGATCAGAGCATTCCAGTCTTGCTCCTTCTTTACGTTCAGCTATAAAAACACAAACCATAACATGCAGTGAAACTAAAATATAAGTATACATATATACATACATACATATACTTAGAGACCTACCTCTTGCAGTTGTTGTTTTAAGGTTTCGTTTTCTGCTCTTGTCAGCTCCATTTCTTTCATCATTTCAGCTTTTTCACGAACACTTTGCTCAACTTGTTCCTGGGTCAAAAAACAGATCAAGTCAACATAAATCTCTGTTTACCTTGGAGCACAGACAAGAACGTGACCATCTGATTTTCAGGGCTTCTTCTCCTAAATGAATGTGAATATAGTTTTGTTTTCATGTTTTTTGTGTATCAGATTATAAAGGGTTGCTACTATCCACGGCCAACTGTGATCAGGGAATTCCACTAATCAACCAATGTCAATGAATTACTTCCATAGTTCACTTGTTATATACTTTTTCTGAATACTACATAAAGTATTTTTTAAGCTGAATGAAATATAGCTCATTTGATTTGAATATAGCTAGGTGGATTTATTTCTTGACTTTAATATTTTTTGGACTGCACATATGATCACGCAGTATCATAAATGCCAGCACCTGTGTAGTGATCACCAGGAGGTCATCGTCAGAGCTGTGACCCAGGCTGTGATCCCCGGGGTTCTGGAAACAGAACGGGGTGCTGGCTCCTCGCACTTGTCCCGTGTTGTCTATGTAGCAGAACTGGTAGAACTCATCGTCTTTGGGGAGATAGTATTCTGTGGAAAATATTTATAGTTGAAAACACATTAGCCAACGTAGTATCTTTATTTAGACCTCTGCCAGACTGAAATACGCTCTCTGAGATGTTCACACTCCTGGACATACCGTAAATGTAATAAAAGTAATAATAACATTTTCAGTAAAATGTAATCAAAAGGTTACAGAAAGCAGTCTGTATATAAAACAATCTGGTTTGGACTTTCTCTCACCCTTAAAAACAGCTTGTTTTGTCACTGTCTCCTGTCCTGTTAAATTTAAACATGGCTCCGCCCAGACAAAGGTATGATATTCTTTTGTTGAACTCCAACCAACCTGAAAAAGTTTGCACATGACACAACAGAGACACACAAAAACACGAGACTCTGACGTGATTCTGCCTTTCTAACCTTGAAAATCCCAACCCAGTCGCGGCTGTGCGGCTGAAAGGAGGGGCAGATGGTGTAGTCGCAGGTGACACAGGTGCTGGGGGGGTAAGAGCGGGGGGCATTTGTGAAGACCACCTGTGAAAAGGTGGTCTTCACATCAGGGGGGTCAGCAGAGGACGAGCTGTCCATGGCCTGAAATATATATTAGTAACATGAACATTGGACATAGGAAATGTACAACTCATGATTATGATTATAAGCAGGTGTCCTTGACCTTTAAACAACAAATTCAGTAATAAAAATATATGTAACCAGTGCGTTTTTTCAGCCTCTAACCCGAAAGTGCCAAAGAAATGAGTGAAAAGTATGCAAACAATAACATGCTTTCTAATAACATAATGAAGGAGTCCGTGTAACTATGGGTTTTTTGATATTCTTTTTAGAAACAAAAGTTAAAGAGAGTATGTTGTGGTCTGATTTGCGCACATTTTATTTTCACTTTCTTTTGAAACAAACAACGTACATGTCTGTATGGGTTGGGGAAGGCCCTGTCTCCATTATAGAGCGACACAAACAATGAGATCTTCATGAGATTGCCATGAACAAGATTTACCAAATAATGCAATTTCCACTTTGAATGAGTACAAATCAGAGGGCCTTTTGCCACCCATAACAAGCGTGAAATCGATACCAAGTGTTTTGTCTTTGTCTAATATTTTTACAAATGGAAACAACCACAGCCTTCCTGTGACCGCGGTAAAGTGGCCCGCATCTTTCAGCTCTATGAACATGCGGCCCGCATCGGGGAAAAGACGGTGCGCGTTTTGTTGAGAACTTACGGTAACAGCGGAACGTCCTTTCGGAGTCACCCATTTTTATCGAACAGAAAGCGCGCTGGGGTCAGGGAGACACGTTTTTGTGATTAAAACCTTATAGAGATGACACATAGCACCAGCCCCCTACGATTCCTCCGGCAGATTGTGAGTCCTCAGGAGGATAGCCACTCTATTGTTTACATATATAAAGTACACAATTTGGTCCGCTAGTGCAGTTTTCAAGTATTGTAACTATTTACTGGAAAAAGGTGTGCGACTAATTTCACTTGACTCATGAGCTTATTATTACCCTCTACCACTGTACCAAAGACCAGAAACTTTTACTGTAGAAATATTGAGAAATATTGAGGTAAAGTAGCCATTTTGGTCCAAAATACCTCCAAAATAGTCAAAACATGTCACTTTTGATCTACTGTAACTTTTTACTGTAAAAAGGTGTGCGACTAATTTCACTGGATTCATGACCTCAACATTGTCCTCTACCACTGTACCAAAGACCAGAAACTTTTACTGTAGAAATTTGGAGAAATATGGAGTTAAAGTAGCCATTTTGGTCCAAAATAGCCTAAAAATGGTCAAAACATGTCACTTTTGATCTACTGTAACTTATTACTGTAAAAAGGTGTGCGACTAATTTCACTGGATTCATGACCTCATGATTGCCCTCTACCACTGTACCAAAGACCAGACACTTTTACTGTAGAAATATTGAGAAATATTGAGGTTAAGTAGCCATTTTGGTCCAAAATAGCCTAAAAATTGTCAAAACATGTCACTTTTGATCTACTGTAACTTTTCACTGTAAAAAGGTGTGCGACTAATTTCACTGGATTCATGACCTCAACATTGCCCTCTACCACTGTACCAAAGACAAGAAACATTTACTGTAGAAATATTGAGAAATATTGATTTAAAGAAGCCATTTTGGTCCAAAATACCTCCAAAATAGTCAAAACATGTCACTTTTGATCTACTGTAACTTTTTACTGTAAAAAGGTGTGCGACTACTTTCACTGGATTCATGACCTCAACATTGCCCTCTACCACTGTACCAAAGACCAGGAACTTTTACTGTAGAAATGTGGAGAAATATGGAGTTAAAGTAGCCATTTGGGTCCAAAATAGCCTAAAAATGGTCAAAACATGTCACTTTTGATCTACTGTAACTTTTCACTGTAAAAAGGTGTGCGACTAATTTCACTGGATTCATGACCTCAACATTGCCCTCTACCACTGTACCAAAGACCAGGAACTTTTACTGTAGAAATTTGGAGAAATATGGAGTTAAAGTAGCCATTTGGGTCCAAAATAGCCTAAAAATGGTCAAAACATGTCACTTTTGATCTACTGTAACTTTTCACTGTAAAAAGGTGTGCGACTAATTTCACTGGATTCGTGACCTCATGATTGCCCTCTACCACTGTAGAGGGCACTGTAGAGGGATTCATGACCTCATGATTGCCCTCTACCACTCAATTGAGAAATATTGAGGTAAAGTAGCCATTTTGGTCCAAAATGGCTACTTATAACTCCATATTTCTCCAGATTTCTACAGTAAAAGTTCCTGCTCTTTGGTACAGTGGTAGAGGGCAATCATGAGGTCATGAATCCAGTGAAATTAGTCGCACACCTTTTTACAGTAAAAAGTTACAGTAGATCAAAAGTGACATGTTTTGACCATTTTTAGGCTATTTTGGACCAAAATGGCTACTTTAAATCAATATTTCTCAATATTTATACAGTAAAAGTGTCTGGTCTTTGGTACAGTGGTAGAGGGCAATGTTGAGGTCATGAATCCTGTTATGTTGGTGGTGTAGAAGAAATAAGAAACTTAGTAAGTCTTTCAGAACGATTTACTGCGGAGAACTCAGGAGCATGGTCATAGCATTTTCTTACATTCCATTTCGTCTCCCTCTATCCTTGTGCCGCTATCACATGGTACTAGCGCCCTCTGTAGGTCAGGCGTATGACTATGTTATTACAATGCTTGTATGTAAACACAACATCTCCCCTGTTACTCATAAAAGGCAACATCTCCTATTATAGAACTTATGTAAAAAACAAGTGAAATATTCTCCTTATAGAACATGTGATTTAAGGTAGTTTTCTCATCTTTAGTAATTATAGTAATTAGCTGCTATACATTTCTCTTAACTAAAATCTGAGTATAAACTTAAAGTGAGCAGCTGAAATTACAATCTTGCATTACAATTATTAATGAACAATAGTTGTAACAAGGGTGGTATACGTTTCCTTTTGTTATCTTAATCTTTGATGTTATTTCATTACAAAGTCTTTAGTCCATGCTGGTGGTTTGTGCGCTCTTTGTGGGATGGCCCGGTTTGGAACAGTCTCTGGCAAGCTAGTGTTTTGTCCAGAAGTGCTAGCTTGAGAGCGTGATTCCTCCGCTCTTCCAGGGCAAAGAGAAAGACGTGTTGCATTCCACCTTTTCCCGTCACTTAAGATGAAGGTGCTGTATCCGGTTTGTTGTTGAATGTTTAAAGGATCAGTGTACTGTCTCTCTCCTTTCCCAACATGAAAAGGCTTCCGTATGCGCACTTTGTCTCCCACTGCAAGTTTAGGAGGTTTAGCACCTCGCTTTTTGTCAGTGTATTTCTTACTTTTGGCTTGCTGCAGAGCGACTCTGGATCTCACTTTGTCGTAACGTCCGGTGTCATCACGTTGTGGCAGAATGTGGAGCTTGGTTCTCATAGGTCGTCCTCTGAGCAGCAGGAATGGAGACTCGTTCGTTGTAGCATGGGGTGTGGCTCTGTAGCTTTGGAGCATGGCAGTTACTGTTGGCTTCCATGGCTTTTGCACAGCCTGTGCTCCCTGGATACAGTCTTTGAGCACTCTGTTGAACCTTTCAACACTCCCATTGGCTTGAGGATGGTACACGCTTGTTCTAATGTGCTTAATTCCTCTCTCTCTCATGAAGTTTGCAAAATCACCAGACGTGAACTGTGGGCCGTTATCAGTAGTAATTGCACAAGGATTACCTTCACGCGCAAAAACAGCTGACAGGAAGGTAATGACAGTAGCTGCAGTTGCATTTGGGGTAAAAGCTACTTCAGGCCACTTACTAAAGTAGTCCACCATAGTGATAGCAAACCTACAGTCCTGAGGTCCACGTTCGAAAGGACCGACTATGTCCACAGCCACATGCTGGAAGGGGCCTTCAGGAAACTCTACAGGTTGTAGCGGAGCAGGTGACACTTTGGCAGTCTTGTCACAGGACTGGCATACTGTACACGAGGAGAGGACACTATGAACTAAGCTGTCCATGTTTGGCCACCAGTAAAGTTCTCTGAGGCGTTGCTTCGTGCGTACAAGTCCCTGGTGTCCTTCGTGTGCAAGCTGTATTATGCGCTCTCTGAGTGAGTCGGGGACTACTAGACGAGCACCTCGGAAAACCAGTGGGGAATCTACTGCAAGCTCATGTCTGATAAGAAAGTATGGCTGTAGGTCACTGGATAATGACTTTTTGGTTTTTGGCCATTTGGACTGACTGATCTGCCTTAGCTTTGTGAGTATGGGACAGTCCTCGGCCTCTGCTTTAAAGTCAGCGAGAGGCAGTGCAGTAAGGAGCTCTGAGATTTCAGCTATCTCAACAAACAAGTCAGGTTCAGGTTCAGTCAGTGGAGTTGACTCAAGGGGAACACGTGAGAGACAATCTGCCAGCACATTTTGGTTTCCAGGGCGGTATTCAATGTCGTACTGAAAGCACATTAGCCTGGCTGACCATCTGGCAACTCTCATCCCTGCTCTATTCATACCTTTGGTGTTGAGGAGCGTAGTCAGGGCCTGATGATCCGTGCGGAGTGTGAATCTGCGTCCCCAGACGTATGTCCTCCATCTCTCGACAGCCCACACGCATGCGAGGGCCTCCTTTTCCGTAGTGGAGTACTTCCTCTCAGCAGGCGTCAGTGTGCGTGAAGCAAAAGCCACGATGCGCTCTGTATTGTCTGAGTGAATCTGCGTCAGGACAGCTCCTAAGCCATAGTCAGAAGCATCTGTTGTGATGACAGCTGACAGTTTTGGATTGAACATGGCAAGAGCAGGACTGTCCAGTAGTAGCCGTTTCAGCTTTGTGAATCATTCATTCGCAACATTGTCCCAGTGTAGTTTAGCCTGCGGGCTAGTCTTGAGCAGTAGTCGCAGGGGTTCAACAAGTGTAGCATAGTTAGGGACAAACTTGCTAAACCATGAAGTCAGACCTAAGAATGAGCGCAGCGCTGGCATGTCTCTTGGTGCAGGTGCTTCAGCGATAGCAGTAAGGTGGTCTGTGCTCGGGCGCAAGCCTTCTTTGGAAATGACATGGCCCAGGAATGTGATCTGTGTTTTTGCGAAGGTGCTCTTCCCAAAGTTGATCTGTAGGCTGGCCTCACTTAGGCGGTTGAGGACTGCTTGTAGGCGCAGATCGTGTTCCTCTCTTGAAGCTCCATAGATAATGATGTCGTCCAGGTAGTTCTGTACACCCGGTAAGTCCTTCAGTATTGTCTCCATCATTTTTTGGAATGCAGATGGAGCGGAAGCAAGGCCAAAGGGGACTCGAGTGAACTGGAATAAGCCGTCATGGGTTATAAAGGCAGTCAGTTTGCGGCTCTCTGGGTGTAGAGGCAACTGGTGGTAGGCTGAGCTTAAATCGATCTGGCTGTAGTATGTAGCACCAGACAGTTCAGCGAACAGGTCCTCCATGTGAGGAAGCGGGTAGCAGTCCATGACGACACTTTTATTTGGTTCACGCAAGTCGACACATAGGCGCAGAGCCCCTTGGCGTTTTCTTCCCGCCACAAGGGGACTCACCCATTCAGATGCATCAATTCTTTCAATGATGCCTGCTTGGAGTAGTCGGGTAAGTTCTGTAGAGACCTCTTTGCGTATACTGAGCGGTAGACGTCGTAGTTTTTGGCGCACTGGACGCACTGCATTGTTGACTTGTACTTTATGAATAAATCCTTTGACACACCCGAGTGTTTGAACTGGAGTAGTGTCAATGTTGTGCACTGCACCTTCGGGCTCCCCAGCAGGTGGCGTGTTTGCACAGTCCGTGTTGAGGATCACTTTGCCGTCAATGATGCTGACCCCCAGGGCTTTAATCAAATCCAAGCCCAGCAGGGGAGATCCGGCTTCCACAATGTAGAAAGTTGCTGGCACAGTACTGTCTTGTTCAGTAGTTGTAGTTTCTGCACGGAGACAACCAAGTACAGGTAAGTGGCCCTTGGAATAAGTAACAAGCCTAGCTTTTGGCTCTTCGAGTGTGCAGCGTCCAAAATATTTTCTGTATATGGACTCTGGCAGTATGGACACAGCAGCTCCGGTATCCACTATTAACTCAAGTGAATGTCCATTTCCTTTTGGTGCTTCAATATTTACTGTGCAGGTTAATTTATCAAATGCTGCTGCGGCTAGTTTTACATCATCAATCCGGAGGATAGCGAGTTCTGGCACAACAACATCTTGTATTTCATTCACTGTTTTGGTACTTGATCTGCATACCTTGGCAAAATGTCCCTTTTTCCCGCAAGAATTGCATTGTACTGAAGCGGCGGGGCAGGTTCTGTCACTAGCCAAGTGTTTGTTCGATCCACATCTGAAACATTTGCGTTGTCTACTGGCATTGGAAACCTGCCTGGTACGGTCATGTGCAGAAGTCTTGGCGGGATTGGTGTCTCTCCTGCCGCGAATAAATGAGCGGGACGCTCCGACTGCCTGTTTGGCGCAGCGGGGACGTGTCTGTTAGCGGTCAACAGTGTGGCATTTTTTACTGCTGCCTCCACTTGTGTAGCAACTGTTACTGCTTTATCTAAAGTCAGATTGTCCTCCAGAAGCAGTTTATCACGCACTGCACTGAGGTATGTATTAGAAATGAGTTGATCGCGTATCATCTCCCCCTCCATTGTACCAAATGCACATGACGCAGCCAGGTCCCTTAGCGCGGCTACGTACTGTATTGCTGTCTCGTCCGAGCGCTGAACACGTTGTCTGAACGTGTGTCTGCATGCTACGACGTTGACTTTAGGCACGAAGTGTTTCTCCAGCGCAGCCATTGCAGAATCCATAGAATCACCTTGGTCCGGTAAAGTGTAAAAAAGGCGTTGTCCCTCTGGTCCAAGGCAGTGTAGTAGCACGGCTCTTTTCCTAGCATCAGGCCATGCATCTCCTGTAGCATTGATGACTAGCATATAATTCTCGAACATCCTCCGCCATGTAGCAAAAGGTATAGGCGGCTCACCAACGTGTGGAAGAAAAGACGGTGGGCACGGTACAGATGCACTCATCCTCGTCGCCAATTTGTTATGTTGGTGGTGTAGAAGAAATAAGAAACTTAGTAAGTCTTTCAGAACGATTTACTGCGGAGAACTCAGGAGCATGGTCATAGCATTTTCTTACATTCCATTTCGTCTCCCTCTATCCTTGTGCCGCTATCACATGGTACTAGCGCCCTCTGTAGGTCAGGCGTATGACTATGTTATTACAATGCTTGTATGTAAACACAACAAATCCAGTGAAATTAGTCTCACACCTTTTTACAGTAAAAAAGTTACAGTAGATCAAAGGTGGGAATTTTCTTAGTTTTGTGTATTTTGGACTAAAACGTGTAATTTGCTTCAATTTTACCCACAATTTCCAAAGTAAAGGTTTGTGGTTGTAGGCACAGCGGTGAAGGCAGTGGTGAGGTCATACACCCAGTGGAATAAGATACTCAAGTCTGTACTGTAAAAATGGACAGCAGCTGAAAATTTCACTTTTTGACCAAATTAAATGTCGAACATTTTAAGTTTTTACATGCTTTTCCAAATAAGGGTTTACTCACAAAACGAGTCTCCTAAGCGCGCTTTCTGTTCGAGGAGAAAAGCTGACAGCGAAAGGCTGTTCTGCTATTACCGTAAGCAGTCAACAAAACGCGCACTGTTTTTCTCTCGATGCGGGCCGTTTTACTTCGGAGGTGAAAGATGCGGCCCACTTTACCGCGGTCTTCCAGTGTTATGTTGAGGCTTGTTCGTCACATGCTTCCTGTTTATATCGGTTTATAAGCAGTTATGTTGAAACATTTACTCCAATGCAAGTTTGGTTTGACTTGAGTTTTGTACCATGAGTTATTCACTTACACTACTATTACTAATAATTATATCACAATAAGTTATAACGTAGTAATAAAGAAACCGAAACTGACATGCATATTTACGTACAATTTTCACAGACAAACAAAAATCATTTTATCTCCAAACATTTGTAGTTGCAATGAATTCAGTTTATGGATTAAAAATCTTTAGCCCTGAACTTACATGTGCGCAGTCCACTTGTCAGATCCGCAGACGCGAAAATTGTCACACGCTGCTTCTATGAAGTGCAAGGTGCGTTCAAGTAGAGCTCGTTAAATGTATTTAGTTTTAGTTTCATAGATCTTATAATAACACATCCTTACTGGTTAAGTCTAAGATAAGATTAGTCCATCAACATAGGAACCTACAAGGTTTATTAATGTAGGTATATGTACCGTAGACTTTATACAACAACATTGTTTCATTTTATTTTGACCAGACAAGAATCCCAACCTTTTCCCCCCACATATGATGTTTCTTATTATTCGATGTAACTGATGGTGTAACTTTTGTATAAAGCCCAGAAATATAATAGACTGTATATCAAATTAGGAAATAATACCACTCGGAGCTATACGCAGCTCTTCTCAAGACCACAAGTGGGAGCCATTATTCTTTGATTGTCAGTGTTGACTTTGCTATTTATCTACGGGCACCGCAAGAGAAGGATTATCCTAGCACTGAAAAGACTCACACACTATCTGGGCCTTTGTGCAGCTAAAAACCTACTTTTTAATCATAATTATTTTGAGTATTTTTTTTCTAAAAGTAATACATATGACTATTAATATACATATATGTACATCCAAAGACCTAAAGGAATATGAATAATACATATAAAATGTTCTATTCTATTCTATGTTCTTAAAAGAAACTATTTACACCATCGTGCTTCTGCGCTGCACCTGCACCGGAGAGTAGAGTGTGGAACCATGAATCATTTTGGTTTGGGTGGGTCTGGTTGGGTTCGGTTTGGTTTGGTTAAATCACAAGTTTATCTTGTTTATAACGCCATATTTCTGAAGAATGTGAACATGTGTTTGCTTTAGTGGAGTTAGAGATAGAAGTCAGCATTCCGTAACCATAGCAACGGTCTCTGTCACGCTGCCCGCGCGCCTCGGCAAAGCTAACGTTATTCTCCTGGGAGCTCAGTTAGCTTACTAAAAGTTTATTCCCTCTGGTAAGTGGACTTTTTCATACACTTGTTGGCCAGCCTCTAACATCTGTCACAGAACGTTTTTACAAAGATTTGAAAGTGAAATCATGTGAAACCCGAGGGTCTGCCGCTTCCATTAGCTAACATTAACCTACAGGCTGCCTTGATCAAGGGTTCCTACAGAAGCCTTCATCCAACACGGATAACAGCTCACAAACAAAATAAAATATACATGTGTCAGGACCTTTACAAACTTTATTATAATCCCTATTGTATTGTATGTGGTCAAAGCTGTAATAATTGTAATTTGCATATTTTATAAATGTATGTAGACTTTTATTATGCCTTATTCTATTCTCTACTTAATATTTGCACCGAGAGCCAATGCAATGTCCTAGTCTGCAACTTCCTACTTAATAAAAATAAAAATGATTCTGATTCTGATTATGTGCTTTAGTTGAGAGAGCAACTTTGTTAGAAGCCAATAGTTTGTCTATCAGACCTCTGAGCAGAAACCAGATTTAGAAATATGATTTGAATCTGTGTTTGTTGTTATCTGTAAAAGTTAAGGGCATGTATCATAGAAGTTTAGTTGCATTCTTAGATTGTATGACATTGATGGAAATACCAAACATTGCATCAATGAAGGAATTTTAGATGGTATTTTGTGTTTTTAGAGAAAAAGGTCAGAAGATTACAGGGACACTTAATTTATACTAATATATTGTGGCAGCTTTCCACATATTCCCATAGGAATTTTAAGTAGTTAGAGAAATTCTTAATGCCACAAATATGCATATATGTATATATTTTTTTAGCTATGTGCTCTGTGTGCAATTCACCAACGTTACTTAGGCACAAGGACTTCAAATCTTTAAAAATCATAACAGTAGTGTGGACAAGACACTGGTTTATCTGATACACAGTCTAATGGCAATTTATGACTAATTGATGCTAATAGAAGTAATCTGGCACCGATCACAACAGATAAGGCTTCAGGCTATCCTTATCCTGATCATCATTTGCCGTTAATCTGATTTTATTTTAGCTCCCTGGATTATCTGCTACAGTCTTCACACTTTAATTGGAGTAACGGTTTTGTTACAACACAATTCAATTAGCAGTATGCCTTCTGTAACTTGGCAGGAGGTCCGTGTTTGGCCTGTTCACTCAGACCACCGTCTTTTTCAGCACAGATTTAAATGTAACTGGTCCAGGTGCTGAGATGCGCCTCTCCAATTTCAGTTTACAAATATGGGGGATTATCGCTCTCCTCTAACTCCCCACTGACTTCTCCTGCTCATTATCTCAGCTTCATGTCACGGCGGATCAGGTGTTTGTCTCCACAGTTTTTAATTGGACACCAGATCTGTTGCGTGGACAAGTTTCTTTAGTGTAAGTCAATCTCAACTCAGGCATCCCTGTGAGTCATAAAATTACTCTTGTTTTTGTAGGATCTCGAAGCTCGCAGCGGCTGGAATTGAAATGGGGGCTCTTGATTCGACAGAGGAAGACCGTGGCAACATCCTTAAGAGGTTTTGAAGTGAAAAACGTTTAAGACCGAGGTATCCACAGAGACTTTGGGCGATCCAGATGTAGGCGAAACAGAGCTGGTGAGTGTGACCTATTTCTCAAAGCAGCTCACAACTGACAATGTAATGCGGCAAAAGGAACATTTAAACGTGTTTATCTTGTGTTATAGACGCACAGAATGGAATTACACCTTTGTAACGTTCTTGAGTTTATCAGTACAAGTGCTAAAAGATTGAAAAACTGTATTTTTTCTTTGAGATTAGTGGCCTCATCACAGATCTAACCTGTAAAAGTACTTGTGGGCATCTCCTGCCTGTCTGAGTGAGTACTGTCCATGTCGATCTACTGTGGTAGATCTCATTTAGATGTAGATGTTGTTAAAATAGGAGTCAGTTTCCTATATCTCCTTCAAACTTTTACAATGAACCTGGAAAATGATAGCCGTCACGGCAATAAGCCATTTCACTGAAGTACAATGTCATGCACAGTACTGTAAGTGTTTCAGCATGTGTTATTATTATTACTATTATAATGTATCATTATTATAATTATTATTATTATGATTAGTATTAGTATTTGTATCAATACAAGTACAATGTGTTATTTTCAGTATAAAGAAAGCGTGGTTTTCAGTTTTGTCACATTTGTCAAAAATTGAATTACAGTTAAGATAAGAAAGTTAGTGTTTACATGCTTAACTTTTGTTTTCTTGCTACCAAACCATGTGACTGAGTCCTTCTTTGTGTGGGACTGCTACATTTACAACAGCATAAGCCTCCCTAATTGTCCCTTTTGTCTGCAACAAAAGGTTTCAGCAGGTTTATGTGCAGTACAGAGGGAGAGCCTCTGACAAATCCTTCTGTGTTTGTAACTGTATCCACACTGAGGTCACTGGGGCGTCTCAAACCCTACGTAAAGCTCTTGGTTCGAGCCAGGATTATACAGATCAAATATGTGTTACCTGGCACCGCTACCTCCTACTGTGAACCTGGGATGTCCCTCCTTCAAGCCACCCCCTTCAAGTATTCAATCTCAATCATTATCACAAATTAACTTGACCTCATCTTAACCTATAAGACACTAGATAGGACCCAGAGGTGCGCAGCTGAGACACTGTCGTGACAAGTACTGTCCATTGTCTTTGAGTCACTGAGTTAGAGATACACAAAGTCTATTAAGTTATTCAATTTCACTCCACTAAACAAACACGCTTACAGCATTGTGACCCCTATAACTCCTACACTCTTAATTTGTA